GCTTCGGAGACTTAGGCCTAAGCCTTTCGCATTAGGGCTTTAGCCTAGCATCATTTAACAGACTACGGTAGCAGTTAGGACAACAGTACTTCGTTGCAATACTTCCAGAGTTTCCTTACAAGTACTGTAGGTAGAATAAACATGCTAATGAAGGAGATAAAAGCAAAAAGCAAAAGTTTCCTTTCTTCGACGGGGAAAAGTCGTGTGTGGGTGCTTTTCCTTACTTTCCCCACCTCGATTAATCCAATCAACAAACAGTTCATCGTCATCGCCTTTTTTTCCCCGAAACGATTAAAGACTCAATCCACAAATAGATTTCAAGAATTGAAATGATTAGAAGACAATGAGAAAAATAAATCTATTCAAGTGTTTAATGCAAAAATTTTTGCCTGTTTCTACTAAACACAATCACTGATCCGGTTTCTGCCTTTTCGCTGATGAATATGCAAAGCTGACTTGTGATGTGAGGAAAGGAAAAGTGAAAGTAATATAATTTTTACAATGAAAGTAGTATCATTTCATTCTATGTAAGAGAGCTGAGACTGGGCTTGAGACTGGGCCTGAGCCTGGGCTTGAGACTGAGCCTAAGCCTGAGCCTGAGTCTGGGCTTGAGTTTGGGCTTGAGACTGAGCCTAAGCTTGAGTCCGAGCCTGAGCCTGAGCTTGAGCCTGAGCCTGAGTCTGGGCTTGAGCCTGAGTCTGCGCCTGAGTCTGAGCTTGAGCTTGAGCCTAAGCCTAAGCCTAACCTAAACCCAAATAGAACTAGCCGTTAGCCATCGAACCAGCTCAAGCCCAAGCCTAATCTGAAAATCACCGAAAAGTCCCAAATCCAAATACAGGGTGTCTCAAAATTATCCGGACAAATTTCAAAGTAACAAAGTTTCAAAGTAACTCAAATATTTCCACCATTTGCTGCAATACATTGCCTCAAATCGCTTTGAAAAGGCGTCAACGTCTTTCTCGATCACACTCATAGGACTTTCATCTCAACCGATCTTCAGAGACCGTATAAGACTAGCAATTGTGTGCAAGAAATGATTTGTGTGCGTTAGCGAAAGCTTTTGACTTTGAGCTTTGACTCCAAAATAGACCAGATAGAGTAATCGAATGGGTTCCAAGATCAAGGCTATTTAAAGGTCAATCTCCTTGATGACGCATATAAACAATGATTTGATAGGGAAAATTTTGAGCTTACCCAATCTTTGTTTTGTTCAATCAATGTTTCCTTAGTTTTGCGAAAAGGAGAATAAAAGCAAAAGCCTTCGTCACAGAGTCTTCGTCAAGTCTAAGTCTAAGTCTAAGCATATAGCATAATGCCGAATCTTACAGTAAACCCTGATCAAGCAGTTTCTCCCAATCTTACAGTAAACCCTGGTCAAGCAGTTTCTTATCAAATAGTCAATAGTCAATAGAATCAAAGCAAGGTTGTACAATAACGAGTCATGTACACGATTGTACAATACACGATTGTATAATACAAGATTGTACAATACACGATTGTACAATACATCCATCTAACAATAGAATGACAAATGATCGCCAAAGAAAGGATCAATTGGTGCGTCACAATCTAGTGAATGGAAAGAACATGAAAGCGTCATGAGAAAACGAGCATAATCACCCACTCGAGGTGAGGAAAAAAAAAGGGAAAAAAAAGATCTTTTCCCTTTTTCTTAACTCTTCACGATCGTTTCCCACCCCCTTCTTTCCCCCCGTAAATTCCCCTATGTACACAAACAATGTGCCTGTGTTGAGCTGACCAGGATGAAAAAAAGAAAAAAAAGATCTGCTTGCGTATGGAAATGATTTCTTCTTTACATGAAATAGAATTTGTTTTTGGGAAACATTAGAAGCGATACTGTGCGAACAAAAAAAACATCACATTCCTACAGTACTCAGTACTACAGTACTAGGCTCTACAAAGGGGCAATAGAGTACTCTAGTCGCTCATAAGGTACAGCAGAAGTTCTACAGTCAGATAGTAATGCCTAATCACTGTATTCTAACGATAATTGATCAATTTCTTTCTCATTTTAACACGTTGACGACAATAGCGTTTTTGCACAAACAATCGCATGGGACAACGTTTGTTTTTTTTTCGACAAAAAATGTCACCTGACATCAGGTGACAATGTCCCAGGCGAACGAATATGTGTCAGACAGCATCAGGTGACAATGTCGTCAACGTGTTAAAAAGAAATAGGACAAAGAAGATATGACCGACGAGAAGCCAACCATTTTCGGCAATTTTTTTTAAAAGTTTTATACTTTTTTTGATTATCTATTTTAATGGTATTAGCTTGGACATCGAAATTTCGTATCTGGTTAACTTTTTTCCTTTTCAAACAATCACCGAAGAGCCGCCGGAGTCAGCGCAGCCTCGCCAAGAAGAAAGGCAACAAAAAGATCGTTGAAGGGTTACGAGCTTTAATATCTAGCCTTTAAAACTTAGATTGATCTAGATAATTATATATAAAGTGTAAATAAATCATGATTTGCTTTCTTTAGATCGATGTTGATCCCTAGCTGTATATTGGAAAGAAGAAAAGACCGGTGAGGGTTTGAGGATGAAATTATGAAGTAGCATTGTAGGATAAGTGCTACTTTTGGATCTAATATATTCATATTCTTATGTAGTTGATTGAACATCGTTGAAAATTGCAATCGTAATAGGAGCTGAGCAATCGTAATAGGAGCTGAGCAATCGTAATAGGAGCTGAGCAATCGTTATAGAAGCTGAGCAATCGTTATAGAAGCTGAAATCGTTATAGAAGCTGAGCAATCGTTATAGAGCTGAGCAATCGTTATAGAGCTGAGCAATCGTTATAGAGTGGCAACGTTAGAGCGAGAATCGTTATAGAAGCTGAGCAATCGTTATAGAAGCTGAGCAATCGTTATAGAAGCTGAGCAATCGTTATAGAAGCTGAGCAATCGTTATAGAAGCTGAGCAATCGTTATAGGAGCTGAGCAAAAGCAAGCAAAGCAATCCCAAGTTTACCCGTCCCGAGCTGTCGACTGGAAAGGCCGGTGAAGAAGAAAAGGCCGGTGAGTGTTTTGCGTGAAATTTTGCTAGCTGGTAGATTTATAGGCTGAGTTTGCGTAGGCCTAAGTCTAAGCCTATCTTCGAAGCAACAATTAGCAGATGATCACAAAATTCCTTGACTTGAGACTTCTTGACTTTCTTTTCGCGTTTATGAGCTGAGCGCTCGTCCCGTCAAACATCAACCAGGCGAAGAAACAACAGAATCAAGAGGTATTAGCTAGATCACTTTGTTAATGTCTGCTATAGCTTTTCTGGATTACTTATTTCCTAGTAATCCAGCTTTTAAAATCTCTTTCTTCAGAAACGCGCGCCCGCAATTGTTCAAAGCTTGGGATCAGCCATCGGTGAGCGGATTTTTGAAAATGTTGTTTGTAGATGAGATTAGCTTTAGATAGCTTTAGATAGCTTTAGATAGCTTATCCATCGAATTTCCTCTCATTTCATTGCAAAAGACGACCTTCGACAACAACATCGAGACACCCGCTCAAGCCAAGAGAAAACGCCACAACAAGAAGATCGCCGAACAGGTACGCGTGCTTTGTGTGAGGGTTTAATCCAAACATAATGTAAATCTTCGCTTTAAATGAGAAAGACAAAGCGGCTAAGGCTTATCAGAAGATTCAACCCGACGACAAACAGAAAAAGGTTTGTTTTTGAAGAAATTTTAAATCTTTTTTTTAAATTTTAGTTGACCCAGGAGCGTACGCCAGATGATGAAAAGTTGTTTTGAAAAAGCTTTTTGAAATTTCACTTGAAATTTTTAGCACAAAAGACTACTACTTTTCATCGAGCAAGACTGTCAACGAAAAAGCCAGAGAAAGCTGGAAGTGTGGTTTTAAATAAAACTAAAAGTTGCCTGATTAAATTTTTCATTTAGTTTCCCGGAAGAAAGTGACCGTTTTTGCCCTCCTCATCAACTTTTAAATGAAAAGCAACGAAACGTCTTACCGTAAATCGTTTTATGCGATTTCTGCGATTCTTCTGGATAAAGTGCAAATGGGCATCATTTTATTCGATTTCTGCATACGTTCGATGTACAAAAATTAGCGCAACCTCTGTAAAAAGTAAAAAAATGGTTTTAAATAGAGAAAACGATAGGGGCAGGGTTGTTCAAATGATGGACGACCGGTTGGGGGCATGACTGACACACTCACAAAAAAACAATAACAAAACATGCTTAAATTTTAGTTTTTAATGACACTAAACTAGAGTTTGGCTTAAGGAAAGTATTTGTTTAAGAGCTGGTTTGGCTACCATGGCCTAGAATCCAATCTCTCTAAGCTAGACATTTTATTGAACACTTTCTTTCAGCCACTCGCCTATGAAAGGGGACAAAAGATGAGACCAAAAAAAACACGTGAACCTGCATTTGAAAAAAAAACCGGAGAAGAGAATTGAAAAGAGCGGTTCAACAAATAAAGTGAAGAACCCGCTTTAGGAAAATAGAAGAGGAAAAACAAGATAACCAAGAATAATTTAACTCTAATGACCGGTATCAGACGTATTTGTGACTCAAATCAAAACTTTTCCTGCATACCTATACGTGTGAGAGAGAACTAGGAGACTTTTCGAGAAAAAAGGTCTGACTCAAGTTTTGAAATAGGTTCAAATATATCACAATATAACGTGTCGGGGCGCAGCAAAAATACAATGATCAAAAAAATAGAGGAGAAAGATTTGAGCAAAATTTTGAGAGGAAATAAAAGTGAAAAATAGAAACGCGCCCAATTCGGGGTGTTAGACTCATGAAAAGACAATAATGACGACAAAAATAAAAAGAAAATCGGGAGGATTGGGGGTACTTTCGAAGAAAGAATGAAAGAAACACACACTCATCACACACATACATACAAACAAACAACACACAAATGAGGGACATCCTAACACAAAAACAACAGCAAGAACTAAAACGAATGGGACACAAGGAGCTATTGTTGAGTTGGCAATGATTTGGCTTAGGCGGAGGCGAAGTTGCATTTGCGGAGCTCTTTCGCGGCCCAGTTCGATACGGTTTTCGTCTTGGCGGCCCGAGAGCGACGACCTCGGCTGATCAGAGCATTTACCTGAAAAAATTGCTTTACACTTGATGAAAACTAGGAGTTTACAAACGAATTTGTAAATAAACTGTTATAAAAGTATTAACCCAAACCTTGTTGATGTCAAGCACTTGTGCAACGGCAGCTCCATAAAGACCGGCCATGTCCCCGATCAGTCCGGCTGCAGCGGCAATCACTGAATCCGGCGATTGAACGGGCTGATTCTCGGCACTCCTAAACAAATGTTGAATTTGGAATAACCACGAATAACTCACAAATGAATGAGATTGGCCATGTAGGGTAGGTGCTGCATGACAAAAACTTTCGCGTTATCCACCTCAGCCGACGCTCCTGCATCAGCAGCTGATTTGACAGCCTAAAGAATAGGTTTTAAGATAGAACAGTTGTTTAAACCTGCAATATTCCGGCGTAGGCAAGCACCGAATTCTCCCGAAGTGAATGCACATAGTCAACTTGATCGATGTCATCCTGAAACGGGACATTGAAAGATCACTGAAAAATAAACTTACAGCATTTGTGATTACGGCAGAGGAGCAAGCCTGGTGCAAAAGTTCCATCACTGGTTGCATGTATCTAAAGTTCAGATTATTTGAATCATAAAAATAAAGCTTACCGTTGAAAAGCAAGCCCGATTGCCAAGGCCACATCACCAAACACACTAAGCACAGCCACTTTCACTTCACGGCTAGGCCGAGGATCCTGAAATCTTCAAATTTCCAATCAGTCCTATCAACCTACACGAATGCAAGCAACAAGAAGTTCCATAATATCATCCAGAATCGGCAAGACTTGTCCTTCAAGAGACCTGAAAAAGGAAATCAAACCATGATGAGATCATTAAATTACCGGCAAAGATCGGTTACAACTCCCACGGCGGAGGCACAAACGGCGTTGTCCTCAAAATGTCGGAGGCCCTGCAGAATGTAGGGTTTGATCGGTTGGAGGTACTGCACAAATTGAAGACCAAGTGCTAAAAGATGGTTGGTTTGTTTAGAAGTTGGATAACAAGCGAACTCACATTCGATTAAAGTTCCGAGGGCCATCAACGCCTCCTCCATCACGTTTCCAGCTCGTCCATGGCTCCTCTCCATAATTTGGATCAATCCTCGAAGAATTGGCTCGCTCATCCGATTCGCATCCTCTGGCCTCATCTTCCTCAGCACCGATTGCAGCGTTGCGCACAGAAGGGCTTGTAAATCAATGACTTGTGCCTAGAATTAACAGTAAAACCTAGCGCGCTTTTGTAAATTACCCGTTGATTCTGATCCGTTGCTTGTTGCTCCATGATCAGCAATTGATCCAGCTTTTGCAGAAGAGTACCAGTCGTTTGTTGCACAAACTAAATTGATAGGTAAAAGAAAACAACTAGCTGCAACACACGCACAACCACAAAAAAGACATGAAAACAGAAACAGGAGAGAAAAAAAACAAACCGGGTAGCAGTCAATTGGGCTGTTCTTCACCAACTCCATCAATGTCTCATAGGCGGCCAAACGGAGGTTAGATTGGTTGCTGTCGGGTCTGAATGAGAAACACTTTAAATTTGAAAAGCTTCAGCTCACCTTTCCGACGTCCGAATCAAAGCAGTGACCATTTCTTGGAAGCATCCAGAAAGCAAGTAAGTTTCGGGTTGACCACCAGCACCGGTTCCGTGTTTAGCAGCAGCATCCTCGTAAGCGGATTTGGTCAATGCGACGAGCGCCTAAAACAAATAAAAATTAACTGTTCTCGAGAGGTTAAAGCTGCACAAATCCCTTACCCAGCAAATATTCGCAGCAACCCGTGGTTCTTGCCCAAGCGCGCCGTACATGACGGGCAGAAGCACTTGCAACACTTCCGGTCGAGCCACCACTTCCCCGCACGCCTCACAAACGCGCCCAATTGTCCAAGCAGCCGTATCACGTACTTTCACCTAAAACCAGAATATTATCAGCCAGTAATAAATATAGGCATACATTTGCATCACTAAGCGTCTGAATCAGCGGTGAGATCGCTTGTGAAACCAATTCGTTCAACTTTGCCGGATCAGGCCCATCGAGAATAGAACCGAACGCCATGATTGCAGCTTCTTTGTGTCTAGATTTATTTAAATCCAGTATTTACATTCCAAAGACGTACTTCCAGTTAGGGCTGCTGAAATGTTGGAGGCAAGGCAGCACACATTCAATGATTGTATCGCCGACGCATTGAGCCAGCAACATTACACAAACACCGCCCGCCTTTGATGGGGTCCATTCATCCTCGTCATCGTCCTCATCTAAACGGAAGTTATTAGGTGAAAAAGGTAAATTACTCACTTTGTTGAGCAAGCTTCTCTAGTAAAATCGGTGACAAATACTTGCAAGCGCCCTTTGCGTAGTGTCGAGAGATCTGCTGTGGTACTTGGTTGTTCTCTTGAGCCTAAATTTTAAAAATTCAGTTGTTAATTACAGAATAAATGGTCTAAAAGGTTGATCCCTCATAGCTTCTAATTTCTTTACCTCTTCAGCCTCAGCTTGCAGAGCAATCTCTTCTTCACACACAGAACTCCAGAACTCGATTCTAAATTTTACATTATCAAATGCCAAAAAGTCAAATAAAACTCACCCCTGAAGGGCCACCTCCGACTTCTGATTTCGCATTGCATCAACCGTAATCTAAAAAGAGATTCATGATAATTGAATTCAAGCAATTCCAAACCGGGAACAGAGCATCTTTCATGTAAGCTTCCATTCGTTGATAGTAAAGCGACATGATCCTCACCAAACATTGCAAAGAGGCGACCTAAAAGTCGATGAATCTTAGGTTTCCGAAAAGTTTCCCCTACCTTCACTTGATCATCTCCAGATTGTGTCGTTTCACAGACAACTTGCATAATTTGATTGCACTCATTCTAAAGAAAACATTAAAACTTCAAAATAATTGCATCAAACACACCTGATTCTCAAAGTTTCGCCTTGTAAACTCTAACGAGTTCAACAAAGCGTTTGTGGCCGCCAACTTCACGTGATTGTTCGTCTGTCCGCTGTGCATTCCTGCGACAATTGCCGTCAAAATCTCATTCGATTGACTTTCAAGTACCTAAAAGGTTATAGATGATCAACTTTCTAACATTACAAACCTGTGGATTAATATCGTGGCAAATATATCCAAGAGTTTCAAGGCAAGCTTCTTTCTTCTCCTCGCTGCTATTGGGATCGGTGACTGCTTGCATTAGAAATTGAATAACATCATTCCACATCTAAATAAAAGGATGTTTAACTTTTCCTATTGAACCCTGTGTATTGGACGTCGTTTTTCTAGTGTTTGAAGCTTTAAAATAGAGCTAATAGCTTTCACTATATAAGTTGCATTTTTCTCCGAAACCAATAGAAACTGTTAACTTACTCCAACAGGCAATTCAGCACAAGCGATTGCTGCAACACATTGAGCGGCTGTTGATGGTCGACTCCGTTCTGTACCCAGCGTCAACACGGAATTCTTCTTGACGGTGTCCCGGTGCTCAGCTGGAAGTTGCAGCCATCTAAAGCAAACAAGATAATTAAATATTATCTTGTACTCGTTTTAACTTCGAACATCCATAATCAGCTTTCCAGCCAGATTCACCTAAAAATGCTATCAACATAAACTTCAATCACCTTTTGAGGTACTGATCCCGGATAACGTCTTCCTTTGAGTAGAGAACATTCTTGAGCTGAAGACCCGCAGCTTGTCGCACGAATTGATCCACATTTGTCAACTGGAGCACAATCGAGAGCTCTTTGACAAAATCGGGCTAAAAATAGTCATTAGTTAGCATATTTGAAATAATTAACCTATCACAAAACACCCCAAATAACTTACAAAATTCTGGACGGCTGCACTTTGTAGAAAGTCAAGCGCCTGCTTCTGATCTTGAGGATCTAAAAAGGCAATAAATTTGTTAGCCTGATAAGTTTTATCAACGCTTTTGCATTTCCTAGAGTAATTGAATATGTTGAAAAAGCTGATGATACTTTAGAACGTTTTTGATGACGTTTACAAGTCATTTTATTGAGTCAATCCAACTCTTAGAGGTTTCCTAGGCTTGAAAATGAATGAGAAGCTAGATACCAAGCAAAACTGTAAAGGGTCACAAATTTAGCTTTTATTTAGTTGATTTTTGTAAAGTAACACAAACAAACTGCAAAAACACTGTAAAGTATCTCAAATTTAGCTTTTATTTAATTGATTATACCAGAAAATGCAAAAATGCGGACTAAGTGCCGGCTAAATAGCTTAAAATGATTTTGAACTTTATTAGTGTCAACTTCTCGCTGAAAAAGGAAAAAAAGCGTTTATAGCTACAAGATTTTGGCACAAAAAGCAAAGCAAAGAAGTTCTTACTGTTCTTGCAACAGCAATTCCACGCTAAAAGCCTGTTCTAACCATTGTAAACGATAAAAAGTCTAAAAACTATTTCTACCTAATACTTTTTGGTCAAAACTTATCTCAACATCACTTAGAACCAGCACAAATTCCTTAAATCTTGCACAAGCTACCATAAAACCCAAAAGCTTACTTTGCGAGACGGTCCTCTGAAGGATTTCGATTAAACTGTTCGACATGTCAGCGTTGTTTTATTGCACACAACAACACGTTGAACACTTCCCGTCAGTGTCTGAAAAAGAAAATTTAATAAAAGAAGTGAAAATTTACAATTTCGAAACAAAAAACAAGCTGAAATTTTTTGAAACTTGACGAATTCGGGGAGCTTGCAATAATTTCGTGCCTTTTCAAAAAAGTGGGCGGGTTTATGGTGAGAAAGCAGGGGCTCGGTTTAGGGACCACAAAAGGGGATACGATAGCGAAAAAGGGTTCATGATTCGCGTTCTGGGGACTTTGCTGAGCGCTAGGTTTATGAAACAACCAATTTTCTTGTCTTTTAGCTGCCGAAATTACGTAAAAAAAATTCAAAACTAGAAAATGCTAGAAAATGCTAGAAAATTCAAATTCAATTGATTTTTGTATGCTAAGAAACGTTTCTTCTCAAATTTTTATCACATTTTCCAAATTTTCAGCTAATTCCAGCTGTTTTCTTATTAAGTAGAAAGCTTTGTCCAGTTTTTTAAAGGTTATTTTTTGAAATGAGTACCGAACTGAACATTTTGCCTTTTTTAGCTTTTTAACCAAGTTTATGAATAATGAACAAATCAATCTATGGTTTGTTTTATGGTTTGCTTTATGTTTAAGTCCTATTATTTATCGACAAATTGCTCTTTAAGAAATTTTGAAAAGCTCGCCTTAGTTAATTTTTCTAAAGATCTCAAGTCGAGCAGTCAAAAACGATGAAAATCAAAGTTTTTGATCTGATTTGAGCATTTTTTGTCTAAGAAGCTTATTTTGATGTTAAACGAAAAAAGACAGAGAATAAAGAGTTAGGCAGATCATAAAATTTCACCAAGCCGTTTTCATTCTAGGATATTTTCTATTTTTAATCAAATCTATTGTAAGGATTTTAGTCGAAAAACAAGAATTTCGGTTTGGATTTGCTTCAAAGCTTTAATTTTGCCTTAAATTAGTTAAATGAAAGTTAATCTTAATCTTAGTTAAACTTTTTTGATTTAAAGCAAACCCTTAATCGGCTAATTATTCATTTATAAACGAAAATTTCAAAAAAAGGGGACAAAACTTTCTGGCCAAACCAATACTTTAGCGAAAAACAATAAAAAGTTCTTGTCTTTTAGTCGATAAACTTGGCTAAAAAGCTAAAAAAGGCAAAATGCATAAAAAGTTCGGTACTTTGGTGGGGCCACTTTTATCCAGACTTAGTTGAATCTAATATTGAACCTAATGAACCTTTTGAGTGGTTCTATTGATAACTTTTATCTACCTATTCTAACGTAATCAAATATGCTTATAAGTATAAGCATATTTGAAGTTTAGAGCATTTACAACATGTTTCAAGTTTCATACTGCCGCTTGGCGCTTTTATTTGATTTTCAAGCGTAAGCAGCTTCGAAATAGCGTTTGATGGTTCAAGTAAATGAGATTAGGCTAGAATTGCTAAAAACTTGCTGAAATAGTCACTAATCTATTAAGCATATTTGATTGCCCTAGAATAGATAAAAGGTATCAATACAATCACTCAAAACATTAGATCGAACTAAGCCAGGATAAAAGTGGTTAAAGATAAAAGATAAAAGCCCCAACCACCAAAGTTCTTGTCTTTTAGTCGATAAACTTGGCTAAAAAGCTAAAAAAGGCAATGCTTTTGCTTTTGTTCAGTTCGGTACTTTGGTGGTTTGTAAATAAATACAAATAAAACTCTAAATAAAGAAAACGAGTTAAAATCAAGTTTGAAACGCATAAAATCAATTTTTAATGTAGAAAAACGTGGTAGGTTAATTTCCGGATCTTTTTTGCGCAACTCGTCATAACTTTGTTCTAGGTATGCCAATCTTTATGATTTTGGTGTCCCTTTGTTGTACTTATTGAGATCTACAAAATGACACTAAAATCATAAAGATTGGTTCAATTAGAAGAAAGTTATGGCGAGTTGCGCAAAAAAAAAGATTGCGGAAACTAGCCTACCCCAGAAAAACGTGTGATTTTGATGAAAATGAAATTTTATCGGCAAAATATTTCAGACAATATTTCAGACAATATTTTAGACAATACAAAGGGTACGGTATTTTCCACGCTTTAGAATACAGTTAAGGATAAAATTGTGTTTTTAACGCTTTTAGCAATTTAGCTTTAGGCTTGGTGGTGGGACAAATGCGACCTTTTTTTGCGCACCTGGACATTTGCGCACCTTTTTTTTGCTTGGAAAAGGCCTTAGGCAAGGCCTTTGCTGGAAAAGGCCTTAGGCAAGGTCGTAGAGCTTCAAAAACGTTTTCATAGAAGGGAATCGTATGCGTAGATTCCGAATTTCGACAAATCACACCTCGCTGACACGTCAAGTTTGGGCTAAAAGGCAAAAACTGCGGAAAAGCGTTAAGTCGCGTAGTTTTTGCCTTTTAGCTCAAATTTAACGTGTCAGCGAGGTCTGATTTGTCAAAATTCGGAATCTACGCATACGATTCCCTTCTATGAAAACGTTTTTGAAGCTCTACGACTTTCCTAAGGCCTTTTCCAGCAAAAAAAGGTGCGCAAATGTCCAGGTGCGCAAAAAAAAGGTAGCATTTGTCCCATCTCCGTGTTTTTAACCCTTTAAGCAATTTAGCTTTAGGCTTTCAGCAAGTTAGCTTTAAGCTTTTAGTAATTTAGCTTTAAGCTTTTAGTAATTTTTTAGATTTAGGACAATTTAGACTTTCTAAATCATTGAATGTTTAAAAATATCGTGAAAGACAAAAAAAAGCTACACGTTTAATCTTTAGACTCGTAATTAGACAATTGCTTTCGAAGACAAAGAAAGCGCTTCAAAAATGCTTTTTGGGAAAAATATGATTGCTATAAAATTGCTGACTAAAAAACGATTACAGTAGCTTCCCCACAAAAAGCACCTTTTAGAAAACAATAAAGCACCAAAAAGCAACAAAGTCAACTCGTAATTTGAAACAATTTCAAAGAACAATTTCAAAGAACAAATGCTAAATTTCACAGGTTTTGAGACTTTTAAAACCGTTCAATTTTAAAGAACAAAAAGAAAACGCAAAGAAAGAAAAGTTTTGAAGGAAAAAACATCGATTCTAGCGTACAAAATAGATTTTTTTCAAATCGATCAATCACTTTTCGTTCGGAGTCCGCCTAATTTGAACATCATCTGCTCGTAAATGTGTGGGTCGGCTTTCCGGATGGCAATCTGGAAATTTGGATATGGCTGAGATTTGAAGCTGGTATTTGGACGACCACAACTTACAGTACAGACCTCCAGGGCCAAGCTGGGCCCTCCCAAACTACTCCAGAGTCAAGCTAGGTACTTCTAGAGTTAGGCTAACTACTCCAAGATCATAACTTGCAGTACAGGCCTCCAGGTCCAAGCTACGCCCTCCCAAACTACTCCAGAGTCAAGCTAGGCCCTCTCAAACTACTCCAGAGTCAAGCTAAGCCCTCCCAAACTACTCCAGGGTCAAGCTAGGCCCTCCCAAACTACTCCAGGGTCAAGCTAAGCCCTCCCAAACTACTCCAGGGTCAAGCTAGGTACTTCTAGAGTTAGGCTAGCTACTCCAGGATCAAACTAGGCTTCCTATGACTATGTACAGTACCCAGCCTGTCCCTGGCTCGATTCTAATCCCGGCTTACTGTCAGTTTACTAAAACAAATCTTTACCTGTGCTTGTAGACACTCTGAGAGTCTCAATTTGATCGTTTCCCCGTCAGCGTCGAGATTATTCGCCAAAATTAGACCCATCATTAGGTAAACCTAAAGAAACAGTAAGATAAGGTTATAGAGTAGTAAGATAAGGTTATAGAGTAGTAAGATAAGACTATAGATAAGTAGATAAGTAGATAGGTAGATAAGTAGATACGTAGATAAGTATACAAGTCAAATAAGCCATCCTTTCCCAACTCACCTCTTCATCCACCACATTCTCAAGCCCGTTCCTCATCTTTCGAATGTCCAACGTAAACGGTTCGACAAGTGCCGGGGAAACGGTATCCGGTGAAAAAGCAGCTCGAACAATCTAGAACACAGGAATTACTATAACCAGAAAGCTTATAAGCTTATAGCTTAGCTTTTTAACAACAAACCAAAATCTGAGGCAATGATTTCTCAATCAAATCTTTCCGCTTCACCTCTCCAACTCGAGAAAAGAGCGCATTCTTGATGATGAAATGATCCAAACGCTCGCGAGCTTCCTGAAATTTTGATTTTCATTTTAGCTTCTAGCTTCTAGCTTCTAGCTACATTTATAGCTTCTAGCTTCTAGATTCATTTATAGCTTCTAGATTCATTTATAGCATCTAGATTCATTTATAGCTTCATTTTCAATTCATTTTCAATTTCATTTAACTAAAACCCTTGCTTTTTTCTTTTATTCTAGCCAAAATTTCTTTAAATTTTTAGTCATTTAATTTTTAGATTTTTTTAATAAATCAAAATCTGATTCGTGTTCTGTGCATGCCAGATAGAGTAAAAATCAAAAAATTAAAAGATTTTATCTAGCGAAACTTGAGTTAATAGAGTGAAAAGCTTTTTCAGCTCTTTTCTTTCAGCCATTTTGGCTAAGATCTATGTGGAATGATTTAAACGAATGCCTAAGCTATTCTAAATCAGGAAATCCCTTTTCAATTGTCTAACAATGTCTAAAAGTTTCTTTTAAAGTTTTTTGAAGTCTTTTGAACGTTTCTAAAGCCTAAAAAAGTCGAAAAGCAATCTTTTTAAGTCAATTTGTCCGGTATACTTGCTGGAAACGTTTTTTTGGTTAGAAGCTATTCTTTTCTTTTGTTTATTAATTTCCTATCTTTATTTTTATCGAATTGACGATAGAAAATCAAAAACCGAAAAAAGCTGCGATGGGGATTGAACCCGTGGGAAAACAGCCCCTGCCGGTTCTCCACACAAGCCCCTTATCCACTACAACACCGAGCCAGCTGGTTATCGAGTTTGTGAACGCCTCAAATAGACCCCCTAAGGGTTTTTTCTCAATTTTGTCAATTTTCCAAATTTTTCCTTTAAATTCAACCTTCCAATGCTTACCTCAGCACTCTGAATCCTCGCCTCCTTTGGGAAAATCTCTTTCCCGATCCCTGCCATCTGTGTCATCCCATTCACCCATTGCTTTCCCTCCTCAATCTCCTGTTCTCTCTCATCTTCTCGTGTCTTCCGCGATCGTTTTCGATCTTGTCGCACTTGTTCCTACAGAAAGCCATGATTTGATCTACTCACAACACTACTTTATTCATCCCAGCTCTCAAACACTTCTCGAATCGACACCGTTGACATCTATTCCTCGACACTCGATCCACGCTACATGTCTGCTCTTTGTGGCACTCGTAATCGATCGATTTTTGTACACTTCGACGGAAGAAACCCTGGAAACTTGTTAGTAGACCTAACACTTCTGGAGCTTTAGTACATGGTCTAATCTTCATCCAAGCGATAATCTGGATGTCACTCTAGGATTTCCAATCAAAAAAAACGGGGGTTAGTTGAGAATTTGTTTTTGTGTACTTAGGCTGTACTTTATGCTCCCATGTAAACGCCTCCCTTTTGGCGCACTTGATCTAATCTTCATCCAAGCGCCAATCTGGATGTCACACTATGTTTTCCAATCAAAAAAAGCTGGGGTTAGCCGTGAATTTGTTTTTGTGTACTTGGGCTTCAAATGGTTCTGAACTAGTAATAGAGATAACCCTCTTACCCCAGCTACAGTCGTATACCGAAAGTACAGCTGTTCTGCTAGCCTAGCCAAGCAGTCCCTTTCCCTCACCTTGCACCCCTCGCAGCTCATCACTCCATAATGATATCCACTTGCCGAATCACCGCACACCACACAAATCTCTTTCGGCGCCATTTTTCCCTCGCCCATCAACGGCAACATGTCCATGTAGTTTAGCATCTAAATATTTTAATAAGTGAGACAGAGCTGAAGCCAGTGCAGAGTTGGATTAGAGTTTGAACTGGCTCCTGGTTCAGTTCCAGTCCAGAACCTGAGCCAGAACCTGAACCAGAACCTCTCCAAAAGCCTGACTAGGCCAGGAAACAAAGCTACATACCCGAAACGATCCCAAATTAATTTGTTGTTGCATTTGGAGTTGATTAACCCGTTGGAGATCAGCAAGGGATAGAGATGGTGGTGGCATACGCAAGTCGGATCTGGAATTGATTGGATAAGGATACAGTAATCTATATATAAAAGGGAAGTGTCTATCCGTCCGTTTGTTCGCTCTCGTTTTCTCGCAAACTCACCCAGGCTGCAGGAAGTGATGAGTGAAGTGATTGATTGTGGAAGTGGATGGAAGGGATGGGAGGGAGGGATGGGATGGGAGATCTGTGGGAATTGGCAATGGAGCTGGCAATGGAGCTGGTAGAGGTACAGGTGCTGGTACTTGGGCACCTGAAAATATCACTGTGCTCTACAAAGTACCTCAGGAAACACCAGAATATGAGATCAATGCCTGTAATCTGCCACATTCTTATTCAAATTTCGATAATTTTTGCGTTTCTCTCTTATCTGGAATGCACAGCACAATTCCTAGGGATTAGGTTTTTGAATTACTGAAATTTGCTTTACTTGGGTACATTTGTGTCCATTGTTCAATTACCAGATTGTCTAAGTTGCATTAATGCCGATTTTATGATTTCGGAAATATAGGGTGACATCCAGATTGACTATTTTTGCTTTTAAACAATCGGATTGTAGTACAAAGTGTATCAAAGAATACCCAGCTACCGTCCGGCCTAATTACCCAAGTGCCTAAGTTGCTTAAATGGCAATTCTATGATTTCGAAAATCTAGTGTGACATCCAGATTAGCCATTTTGGTCTTTAAACAATCGGATTATCTTTCAAAATATAGCAAAGAATATCCAGCTACCGTCCGACTCAATTCCCAAATTGTCTAAGTTGCGTAAATGTCGATTTTATGATTTCGAAAATATAGTGTGACATCCAGATTGGCTATTTTTGCTTTTAAACAACCGGATTGTCGTACAAAGTACCAGGGAATCCCAGAGAAAGAGAATATGAAAGCTTTCACCAACCATTTACTTGAATCCCATTCGTTAATGGATCCGATTTGAGGAGAGAGGAGACAGAGAAGGAGTTGGAGCGGCTGAAATGTCGATTGATTATCTAATATCTAATAGAAATGGTACTGGCTACTGTAGTTGTGGTTACTGTAGTTCTGGTTACTGTAACTATATATACTGTACTGATAATCTAAGGGTACTGTAGTCTTTTTAGCTCTAGCTTCTTTTCCAATCTCGATGCCAACCTTCCCGGATTGCTGGAGGCCGGGGAGCTGAGTGAAGGACTGCTGTTGCGCGACGGTGACGACATTGTCTCATTTCCCGAATCATTGCGCTCATCCTAGAAGTTTTCATTAAATCTTTTGCCATTTTGGAACTCACACTATCCTCCTAAAAGCCTATTTTTCAATTTCCATGACTTTTCACTTTTTTCTATTTCGCACTCTATCTACCGTAATCCTGATTGTCAAATTGGTTAGAATTGGTTAGAAAACGGTTTTTTCTATAGATATTAACGGATTTTTTTATTTAAATAGATAAATACAGTAAGCTGAATGGACAGGAAGCCGAAGAAAGCCGAATTTCTACCTGAATATGATGTGGAACAGCGGATCTGCGTAGCTGAGCGTCATGCGAGAATGAGAGGAGTGCTTCTGGTGGTAGAAGGTGCTGAATGGATTGAGAATGGATTGAGAATGGATTGAGAATGGAAGAAAAAACAACTCTAGATTGAAAAGAATCGAATCTAGAGATTCTAGATCAATTCTAGATCGAGTCTAGAGATTCTAGATCGATTCTAGATCGAGTCTGGAGATTCTAGATCAATTCTAGATCGAGTCTAGAGATTCTAGATCGAGTCTAGAGATTCTAGATCGAGTCTGGAGATTCTAGATCGATTCTAGATCGAGTCTGGAGATTCTAGATCAATTCTAGTTCCCCACTCACCCCAAGAAACGGTTGAAAGAAAGAAAGGTTCGACGAAGAGCCTGAAGTCGCTGGCAATGGTGGGATTTGACGCTAGAATTGATTGTATTGGATTGATTGTAGATGTAGATCCAGATGTAGATGGTAGACTGTCGAATGACATTCGTGATTGACTTCATAAGTCCTAGAAATTGCTAAAAGCTCACCTGAATATTGTAACCGGGCAATAAAACAGGCATTGAAGCTCCCGTGGAGCTTGAGCTCGACTCTTGAGCTTGAGACTTTAACTGAAAAATGTTTAAATCGAATGGCCTTTTGACTCAACGTCGACTCCATCTTATAGAAGCGACTATGGGGAACTTGAATGCGTTTCCCGTTTTGTTTTCCGTTTTCCCAATCGCGAGATATCTGGGAAAGAAAATTGGCAGAAAATTGGAAGGAAAATGGCAGAAAAATCCCTTGAAAAGAAGAGAATTCCGGTAAAAGACCCTTTATGGGGCCGCCACAAAGACCGTGGACAAACCACCTCGGTGGTCTAGTGGTTAGTGTGATGAACTGCTGAGCTGACGAGGGTCTTTGTCGTGAGTTCGAATCCTGTCCTCGCCAAAGTTTTGGCTTTTCTTTAAAATCTCTTCTTGACTTCTTGTGCCTCCATTCTTGCGAAATTTAGAGCAATTTTCTATACCAGATATCTCACGATTGCGAAACGGGGCGAAAGCGAAACGGATTCGAGATCCGATTCTATAAGATGATTGGATCCAGAAACCATTTTGTTCTGAGCTTTAGATATCTAGCGAGCTTGCTGATCTTGCTGATCTTGATCTATCTAGCTAGCTAACTACCTAGTAGATATCGAGCCTGAGCCTGAGCCCTGAGCCTGAGCTTGAGCCTGAGCCTGAGCTTGAGCCTAGCTAACTAGATATCTTATATCTACGAATGATCTAAGATCTACAGAGCCACTGTAAGCTGTAAGCTGTGCTGTAAGCTGTACTGCAAGCCCTTAAGAAGAGCTACCTTTTCCAGTCTCACCTCTTCTGTTGTTTGTGGATTGAATGATGACGCGAGCGCGTGCAATGAGACCAATTGTTGAAGTGAAGGCATTGAGGGAAGAGTTGAGGTTGAGGGGAATGGCTGAAAGTTTGAAAAATGGTAAAAGTTCTTGAATTTCATTTCAAATTCCAGTGACCTTTTAAACGAAAATCCCGTTAAGGCCTTATCGTGGCATAAACGTCTACTACAATATAGCTTTGATGATTTTTCTAAACTTTTCGGCAATCCTGGAATACACGATGTAAAGTTCGAGAGAAATGGTGGAGGCTTGTGAGAAAAATGGTTAATTGGTAATACTGTGGATGAGTCTCGAAGGGATTACTGTACTTTTTGACAATAAATTACAGATTTTAACGATTGGATATTGTTATCTGGAACTCACAACGCTTAGCTATCAGTAAAATAATAAGGTTTTGAGGAAATAGGTGATTGGTAATACTGTGGATGAGTTTCGAAGGGATTACTGTACTTTTCGACAATAATCTAGAGGTTTTAACTATTTAATCTTGTTATCTGGAACTCACGACGGTAGTTATCAGTAAAATAATAAGGTTTTGAGGAAATAGGTGATTGGTAATACTGTGGATGATTTCGAAGGGATTACTGTACTTTTCGACAATAATCTAGAGGTTTAACTATTTAATCTTGTTATCTGGAACTCACGACGGTTAGTTATCAGTAAAATAATAAGGTTTTGAGGAAATAGGTGATTGGTAATACTGTGGATGAGTTTCGAAGGGATTACTGTACTTTTCGACAATAATCTAGAGGTTTTAACTATTTAATCTTGTTATCTGGAACTCACGACGGTTAGTTATCAGTAAAATAATAAGGTTTTGAGGAAATAGGTGATTGGTAATACTGTGGATGAGTTTCGAAGGGATTACTGTACTTTTCGACAATAATTTAGAGGTTTTAACTATTTAATATTGTTATCTGGAACTCACGACGGTTAGTTATCAGTAAAATAATAAGGTTTTAAGGAAATTAGTGAATGGTAATACTGTGGATGAGTCTTGAAGGGATTACTGTACTTTTCGACAATAATCTATATATTCTAACGATTGCATATTGTTATCTGGAACTCACGACGGTTAGTTATCAGTAAAGTAATGAGGTTTTGATTCCCTAGAAATCTTTGTCCAAATCTCTGCACCGACAGATTGCCAATTATATTGGGGTCATAAATGGCCCTGACAAAGAAAAAGAGGAAAGAACGAGCAAAAAGAAAAAAAATGGCGTCACAGGTGTGTTTAGGAGCATTGCCTAATCGCATGCCATCTGGCAAACTGAAGTTGTGGGGTTGAATGGGTTTTTTCTCTAACATGGATAGGGGTTTAGGTCTATAAACTTTAAAACAAACCATATTAAACTGTGGCAACGCTGTCGAGGATGATGGAAGGGAATTGGTGACTGGATGAAAAGCCGAAGATGAAGATGAAGATGATGCAGAGCTGTACATGGTAAACCACAAACTACCCGACGATTGATACCCGTATCTGAAAATTCAGTTAGTTGAATTCAGTGAAAAAAGAAACCAGTTGAATTTGGTGAAAAAACAAAAGTCATGTCACAGCCGGGAGTCGAACCTGGACCGTGCGAGCCAGGAGCAAGCGTGCTACCGACTACGCCATGTGGACCAACCGTCGTCAGTCAAAAAAACCGCTGTTAACCGTTACACGAAGTGCCTGTACGTGTTTATATCTAGATTATCGATAAAAGCCCGGTTAACAGTTAGTTTTTCTCGGCTGGGATCCCCATCGCCGTAGCGCAGTTGGGAGCATGCTCGTCTACAACCCAGACGATCATGGTTCGAGTCCCGGTCGTGTCATGAGTTTTTTTTATTAAAAATCAAATAAGATATGTACAAGTATATAGAATTCTAAGCCTAATAAGCTAAAAATTATTTAAATCGGCTTACGGAGAGCCGAGAAAAGAACGAGCACGTATGGATGGATGGACAGGAGGACGGATGGACAGGAGGACGGACGGACGGACGGATAGACGAACAGACAGACAGATAGACAGACAGACAGACGGACGGACGGATGAACAGACGGATGAACAGACAGACAGACAGACAAACAGACGAACAGGCTGACAGACAGACAGACAAACAGACAGACAGATCTAGCTGAAGACTCGGAAAAGATGAGTTCTATTACCGGTTACTGTAAGCTATATCTAAATTCCTACTCTATAAAAGATAAATGAAAATGAAGAAAAGTAGCACCCAGAGAAACCAGGGCATTGTAATCCGAAGGTGGTGTGCCGATTTCAATGTCACGCCAAGGGGCGTTCCCCTCCTCCATTGCGCAACTCTTCCCTATCATCCCTCTTTCTATAAATCTCGCGATCCCTACCCCAAAAAAGAGACTCTCAACTCTCATAAACTCTCGAAAAGTGACATCATTTTGGGTCACCGCATTCCCTGCCCTTTCTTCTCACTGCACACAAGGCCAGCGGTCGATTGGGGCCATCGCTCACCTTTCCCCCCCATCCAAAACATGCAAAAGGTCAAGCTAGCACATTGTTTAGAGACGGGAATGAGAGTTTGAGATTTTGAGGGATCGAACTGGATTGCAGGATGAACTGGATGGCTTAAGGATTGTTGCCGAAGCTCTACAATCCATAGATCTCTCTTCATCAATCTCTACAGCGGCAAGATCTCTCTTCATCAATCTCTACAATAGTTAAAACTACAATAACTTTGAGTAGCTTGATCAAATCACTGGATTCTCAATCTAGTCGAAATCTGGAGCTATGAAGCCCTACCTACAATTTCGAATCAAGAAAATCCCCCCAACCAACCAAATTGCCCCTCACTGCCCTTTTTTTGGCCGTAATTTCCCGGATCAGGTCAAAAAGTGGAGAAAAGATAGATATAGAAGATATAGAAAGGAAGAGCAGAGATATAGAAAGAGAGAAAAGTGCGCGTGAAGGAGAACCCCCAAGGATGGGTCATGACCCGGTCAAAGGAGATGGCGGGAGGGCATAGGCCAGGGATACAGACAGACACTTACATGCATTAAGGAGCTTTACTTTTCGTTATCAAGCATGATACTCGTTAGCCCTGTTGTCTAGATATTGCCTGGGGTAATTCGACTTTTCTTATCGAAGTTCAAAGTGCCCATAATGGTCAATGTGTGCTCTTGATGGTCAATAGATGTGTTTTTATTGTATTTAAGCCAGATAGCCACTTTATAACGTTTTCAAACAAATATCACACAATAAACAATGAAAAAAAACTCAACAAGGAAATGGTGAATCGCTTATAAAATATGGGATTTAATTTGAATCTGAAGAAAAAAAAAATTAGTTTATAAGCGATCACCAAACGAAAAGAACAAGGAAAAGAAGCTTTTGATCGAAAGATTTTTATCGAAAAGCTTTTTACTGAAAGCTTTTGATTGAAAGCTTTTTACTGAAAAGCTTTTGATCGAAAGCTTTTAATTGAAAAACTTAATTGATTTTAGTTGAATTAGCTGAAAATCTTCAAATGGCTCAACTAAGCTTTTGTTGTTTTTTTTTTTTTGAAAAAACAAAATGAGTACCGGTAGATGAGATGAGAGGAATGAGAAAATTTGCAAAAATAGATTTTCTATTGAACCGCTGGATCTATTGAACCGTTGGATCAGCACGAATTATACCAAGGGCTTGCAGGGCAACCTGGAAAGGAGAGAATATATAGTGAAAATTGATTATCTACAGTACTTAAGAGTTATTTTATCTTAAAATTCATTAGATATCACTTGTAGCTATTCTTAGATTGGAACGGGACATAATTGTTTCTTTTTTAAGCACTAAAAACGATATCATCATCGACAAAAACGACAAATCATCGTTTTCATGCATTTTTAAGGATCTAAACTTTTATTTACCGTTCAACTATGATTTATTTCAAACTTTTACACGTCTAGAGTTCATAGATACATAAAAAACAAAAGAAACCTGTGCACAAACGTTTTTCGCGTGTTTTTTCTGCGCACTCGATACCGCTGGCACGTATTCGACGCCGTTGACGATTACCTGAATGGAAAAATGTTTGAATAGAACAATTTTAATGGGCTGCTATGAAATGGTTAGTTAGATAGTTTATCAAAAGCCGTATCATAAAATTCTTTGTTCCATAAACCAACAAAAAACCTACCGCACAATTGAAGCGTCGCGAGTTCGGCGGTCCTTCCTCGATGAAGCGAAATGATGGGGCGGATAGGCGCCGCTTTGCCGCAAACTCCATCAGCAACGAGATCGGGTTACGAGCTGAAACAAAACGTTTAAGGCTAGGCATAACAATGGCCATTCAAAGCGCTTAAAGCTTGACATTAAAACTATCACATACGTCTAGCTTACAAGGGCTCGTTGTTTATTTACCACCGAGTTTCGAACTGGGACCTAGCCTATTTTGTAGCAAATTTTTCGCTAATTCCGAATATCTAGTTCGTTTGTGTGTAATGGATTCAAATTTTCGATTTAAATCCGTTTAGAGTTTGTGTGTAACGATCTCTAGCTTAGACTTTACTGCTAAGACCCAATCCCACCTCCAAGATCCGGCGGATTCCACGCCGCTCCACCGCCCACATTTTGCGAGATCTGCTGTGTCGGATGGACGACTCCACCGCCTTTCTTCCCTCGTTGTTCCGTTGAAGCAGCGAGGCCTAAATTTACTTGGTAATTACTAGAATATGGATAACTATGCCGGCTAATAATCTACAATAATCTGATTTTAAAAGTGACTAAAACATTTCCAAAAAAACAAATCTATAAATAGAACAAATAGATGCCGAATTTTTCCATCAAAGTAACCATTGTCTAGTAAAACTTACAGTTAGTCTTTCTTACAGTTACAGCTACAGCTACAGCTACAGCTACAGCTACAGCTACAACTGCAGCTACAGTCACAGCCACAGTTAGTCTTTCTTACGAGAATTGTAAAAACTTCCTTAATTCCTCTTCTAGTTGCATGAAGCACAAAATCCGAACCTTTCCGATCAAATTTCACATCCAATTGCAACGGTTCGACATCACCGATTCGATCTTTTCCCAGTCCTTCACCCGGTCGCCATCCCATCTGAAAGATAATCGTTGAAAGAGTTTTTACCCTAAAAGCACAATACTGTAAATAAATGCCCCATAAAACTCAAATAAATCCACCTTTTGCATGAGTCGTAATCCGACGCCGGTTGTCAACGGTTTCATGATTTTGAATTGATCCTAAATCAAAGCAATTAGCTTTTGAATCTCGTCTCAAATGAGCTAAATTCTGTTAGCTTTTTACTCTTCCCCGTCGTTTCATTGGCGAAAGAAAAAGCTGAAAACGTTCTAAAAAGAGGATTTTCGACACGATTTTCTGGGAGTGAAAAGGTTTCTTGATAGGCTATATTTAGTTGTAAGGGTTTATCTTTAGATTATAGATCTAAAAACTGAATATTTTCCTAGCGAAAATCTAGCCTATTTATTAGGTACAAGAAGCCTTTCCACTCCCAGAAACATACCTGTCGAAAATCCTCTTCATCGCTTGTTGTTGTAGGTGACCAGGATCATCAAAGCTACTGTACTTGAGAAAAGGAACCTTTTAAAAAATGATAAAGTTAGTGCAAAATAGAAAAGGATTACTGTAGAAAGAGAAGACTTTCAAATATCAGAGCCCTTTCTATTTTGCCCTAACTTTACCGTAAGCTGTAGGCTAAGTTCTTGGTTACTTTGCTTGAAGAAATCACAAGAAAATTAACAAAAAGATACTTTATCCAAGAAAATACTCGTATTCCGAACAAAACCACCACTGAGAATCACATTCAGTTACCAGTGCAAAGAAATGAAAAAATAAGGGATTTCTCAAAATGGAAACAAAATGAAAATGAAATGAAATGAAAACAACTAAAAGAAAGAGTACTGAAAAACGTTTGTGAGGGTAAATCGAATATTTTGAGATTACCCCATGCTCCTCAAAGCATTCAGCTAACAATATTGCCTGAATATTTTCAAAAACATGGGGAAGTCTCAGATAATCAATTTTCCGCTTACAAACCTACCTTGGAAAGACTAGAATGACGATTTTTTTTTTTATAAATATATCAAATTTACAGGTTACAAATTCCAATTTTGGGCTGTAAAATCTGATGCTTAGCTAAGAGAGCTTTAGAATTATGACCAAAGTGAAGAAGTATGTGAAATGTGAAAGAGAAATTATGGCGGGAACTTTAAGAATTAAAGATACTGGAAGCCTCAGTCTTCTCTCACATTATAGAATGCCGAATGAAAAGAGTTCATTACACAAGACTGAGCTTGGATTAATCTTTTTAATCCAGCATCCTATAATGAAACAAAAGACTTACGACTTCACAGTATCTTTCGGCAAAAAGACCATGAAATAGAATTGAATTCATATTTTGAAATTTCATTTTAACCTTTTATCTGGTAAGCTCCTAACAAATTTTCGACTTTTGAGAAAAGAGGCTTTGATTTGAAAAAGATTTTTTTGATTTTTTTACAAACTTACCCAAACTTTCTAGACTAATAATAACTTAAAAAACTTCTAAAAACAGATCCCCTTTCTCAAGTACAGCTATCAAAAAATTGGGAGAATGAAAGGGATGATATCGAAGAAGAAAAACGGCATCAATATAGATTGTGTTTGAGATCATTCATTCAATCAGACTCGGATGACGACGAAGAGTCCCACGTGGTTACTTTTGGTTGACTCTGCAAAGAAAAGAAACCGAATGCTTTTTGAATGAAAAAAAGATAGGAGATTCAAACTCAAGCTCCCATCTTTCCATTCAAAAAGCTCATTTCGATTCAAAAAAACAAATCAAAAAGCATTCTTTTCTTTGCAAGCCAATTTTATGTACTAGTTCACCATTTTTAACACTTCAAAGTTACAAACCTTTTTTACCCATGCATGAAAACGTGGATCGTGTGGCTGCAATTCGTCGGCTGTCAATGTCCGTAATCCAGTCGATCCGGTGAACTTTCCCGGCACCGATCCATGACTTTGCGATGCCCAAGCTTGCATCTAAAACGAAAACAATGAAATTGTCTACTGCTATACTCAACGTGCGAGTAGTTCTCCAGCATTTTATACAAAAGTCACGTCACTTACATCTTCATCGCATTCCTGAATCGCTTGTCGAGATTCATAATCGTTCGGATCAGTCTCGAGCTTTTGCATTGCCGACGCACGTAGAGCCAACACTTTGGCCACATCTGCTGGAGCCTAAAATCCATTCGATGAATTCTTTCACTTGCAGTCATTCTACGAGTAGAACTCTACAGGACTATAAAGTTAAAGACAAAAAACATGAGCCAAACCCACATCTCTTTTCGATTTTTTTGGATCCTTGATGATGATCTTATCCTCGGATGCCGGTACGAACATTGGCGGAAGTGGTGGCGGTGGGAGGAGAGGCTCAATGAAAGTCGGTGGAGCTCCAGGTCCGGAAAGGAGACTAAAATTAAAGATATTGTCTAAAAGACAAATCAATAAACTTGTCAAATGAGGGCGGAACTGGCGGTGGTGGAATGAGTGGAGATGGAGTGATTTGCTAAAATGTTGATGATAAAGTAGTCGAGTCTCTTATCTAAACCAAATAGTATCTATTAGTAACACTTACAACTCCTTGCTTCTTTGCCTCTTCAATTTGTAGACTCGTCACGGCTTTGTGTTGCTTGACAGCATTCGTCACCGTCACTGGCACATCATTTTTATCCACGGGCACCCATTCGGTATCCTGAAAGTTGTAAAATGCTTTAAATTTTGACAACTTAATCCTTTTACAAGTATAATAACAACAAATTTCCCCACCGTTTTCTCTTTGTGAATAGTTCCACTGCTCACTGGATAGCATAATCTCAACGTCGACTCGTCGAGCATCCTTTCTTGCACGGTGCGAATCGGCAATGGAACCGCGTTCTAAACATCGATTTATATTAATCGGCTATCCAATTCTCTCACCGCAATGTTTATCGTGATTCCACCCAATGTTTGTGTTGTATTGACAGCATATGGATGCTTCACAGTGCCAGCCATGAAATCCTCGAATTCACTGTCACTTGAGACTTCTTCACCGAGCTTTCGTTGCGCTTCTTTCTCTTCACGTTTCGAGACTCGTTGACAGTATTCTAGAGTAGTTATTAATAGCATAGTTGTAACTTTAATGCCGTTGACTAGTTTCACCCACCGACAAGCTCATCAATTGATTTCCCGGATATCGTGGCGGCCATTGTTGGTTCACCAGCTGAGGTCATGATACCCATCTAAATGCAAATGAAATCAGTGCAACAATTGTAAGCTACCTGTTGCAACAAGCGTGATTTCTTCTTTGCAATGGCCAACAATTTTCCTTTATCGATTTTCTCTTCTCTTGCATCACCATCATCTTTATTTCGATCGCGTTCATTCTTCCGGCGAGAGTTTCGATTGCTTCTTGGGGATGATGATCGTCGACGCCTTGGTGAGCGAGATCTAAACATTAACTTACTATAAAGTCTTTACAGTATCCAGTCTACATTAATGATTCACTAGCAAATACTTAAGAACAGAGCAAATAAGCTATTAGATCAAACAGTACCTTGACTTTGATCGTTTTCTCTTTGACTTGCTAGTTGATCGGCGGGCCCTTTTCCGCGAAGTCGATCTGGATCTTGACCGTCTCGATTTCTCATTCTTCGATGAAGTTGCTGGGCGTTTTCTCGGCGATTTTCCATTATCTTTATCCCGTTCACTGTGCATACCGGGAAGACGTTTTCCACGACCCCTAAAAGATTGTTTAGTTAAAAGTTTTGCTGCTCTTGCTGCTAACACTCACTTTCCAGCCTTGTTCTTTTTCTCTGTATCTGAGCCATCAGATGACGAAGAAACGGAACGACGACGCGATGAATGCTTCGATTCTCGTTTCTTGATAGCTGTTCCCGTCTTCACATCTTCAGGAATCGATCCCTAAAACAGAAAACTCATTTAAGAATAGAGAGAATAAACAAACATCACTAATATCGTCTGTAACCAGCTCAGACACGGTGCTTTCTGTGGGTTCAGCTGGTAGTTTAATCTCCGATCCATTCGTTTCTATTGGAAGATTTGGTGCTGACAGTGAAGTTGGTAGAGGAATAGCTGAAGTTGACGGCATTGGTTCATCCTTCATTGTTGACGTTGACGGCATTGGTTCCTTCTCTTCGACAACGGGTTGATCTCTAAAAATGGCTTGAAAATTAGATGCTTTAGCTCTAAACTCACATCTTTTTCGTCTCTTCTTTCGCCACCGGTAGACTCAACTTTCCGATCGCGATCTTTTTGATGATCCGTGGCACCATTTCGCCTTTCTTTTTCTCATTCACATCCTAAATTAACCAAAATTAAATTCAATTCAGAAAGCACACCAATTTCAGAATCTCCGATTTGACTAATGGCGGCGATGGTGAGTGTTCCTTTTTCTTATCTTTATCCGAGCGAACAGGTAGCATGAACTCTTTCTCAGCGACAGAATCGGCGGATTTCGAAGCTGAAATTTGCAAAAATGAATATATTTATGAGTAAATCCATACCTTTACTGCCATTTTCCTTATCCGCCTTCGTTGATTGTAAACTATGGAAATCGGCGCCAAGTGGTAGATCATCGTCGGAAGAAATCTAGAAAAAGTTAAGTTAAGTTTAACTTGATACTATAGGGTTAAAAATGAAAAAAATCGAATTTGAAAACTTGCCTTATCAAAAGTTGGTGTTTTATGTTTTTTGAGTGCTTCTTCTGAAGGAGAGCTAAAATAAAAATTCTTCTGAAATTCTGAAAATTCTTCAAACAGACATTTAACTTTTGAAAGATTGATCTATTAAGTTAATCTATTAGGTTGATCTATTAAGTTGATCTATTAGGTTGATCTATTAGGTTGATCTATTAGATTGATCTATTAAGTTGATCTATTAAGTTGATCTATTAAGTTGATCTATTAGGTTGATCTATTAGATTGATCTATTAAGTTGATCTATTAAGTTGATCTATTAAGTTGATTTATTAAGTTGATCTATTAAGTTGATCTATTAAGTTGATCGATTAGGTTGATCTATTAGGTTGATCTATTAAGTTGATCGATTAGGTTGATCTATTAGGTTGATCTATTAGGTTGAGTACTAATTCTTGATAACCCCCATTCAGCTTTTGTTTTATCAATAATTAAAGCACGAATACAATTAGAATTTTCCTCAAATAAAAGTTGTTTATAGTTTAATTTGAGATCTTTTAAAGCAAATTTAGGTACATTTTGAAACGAATCTGCGCAGATGTTCGTGTTTTTCTGAAAATTCTTCAAACAGACATATAACTAAAGCAATTAGACAAATCGAGCTGAGAATTCGGCTATATGCCTATAAGCTATAGGCATTCAGCTATATGCCTTTCGTGCTCGATCTTTTTTCTATTGACATCAAAATAGGTTTCTATGGAAGAAAGTGCTCAAATAGTTTTATCGATTTCATTATCGAGCTCGTTTCCTCTTTCTCAACTTTCTTGCTAACGTAAAACCTCTAAAACCAAAGCTTTTCCAAATCTCGCAAAAGCTAAGCTAAGCTAAGCTAAGCAAAAGCTCTCAAAAGAAAATCAATAGACTCAATAGACTCAATAGACAAAAGAATCAATTGATAAAAATCATAGATTCTTTAATACATTAGCTATTTCTAAAAATAAAAACGTCTAAGTGTTATCAAGAGTTAGTACTCAACTCAATACTTCATTAAAGATTAAAGTCATCAATCATCAAAAAGATTCTACTAGTAACGTTTAAAGTAAAGTAAACGTAAAGTAAAGATTCTACCAGTAAAGTACCTCGATCCACTTTTCCGTCTCCGTCTACTCGGCGAGTTCTTCTCCTTTTCGCGTTTCCGTGATCGACGTTCACTGCTCGCGGATCGACTTCGGTCCTTGTCGCGCGACTTTTTCGATTTCTTCTTCTTATGCTTCTTTTCTTTTGAGTGTTTCTTCTGTTTCTTCAAATCCTCCACAACATCGTCCATCGAGAAGGGCTAAAAAGAGAATAGTTTACCGAAAATGCATAACTTTAGTGCTAAGTTTAAATTGATAGAGTTCTTTTTAAAACTCACGATGTTTACAATGAAAAAAAACGATTATAATGAAAAGAAAAGAACGATTTCATCTTAAAGAACGATTACAATGAAAAGAAAAGAACGGGGTAGGCTAGTTTCCGCAACTTTTTTTGAGCAACAGGGTCATTTGCGCAACTCGGCATAACTTTCTTCTAAGTGGGCTAATCTTTATGATTTTGATTTCATTTTGTTGCACTTATTGAGATCTACAAAATGAGACCAAAATCATAAAGATTAGCCCACTTAGAAGAAAGTTATGGTGAGTTGTGCAAATGACCCCGTTGCGCAAAAAAAAGTTGCGGAAACTAGCCTACCCCAAAAGAACGATTTCATCTCAAAGAACCCTATCAATTAATTAAAACACATAAACACATAAACAATCATACCTGCTCAGATTTCTTCACGACTTTCAGCAAATCGTCGACCAACGCGTCGGCGCTCACTTGTTTTTCCTTTTCGTCTTTTCTTCCTTCTTCTGCTACACTTTTCGGATGATTTACCACATTTAACAAATTACTCATTTTAAAGTTTTACATAAGAGAGAAAACCCTAGCAATCCTAGGAAAATACAACGAAATGTTAACAAAAGATTCCTTATAAAATATTGCTTTTTTTAAACTTGAACCTTTACGCAAAGAAGAGACGAGGTTCCACGCGAGTTTTGCCTAAATTTAAAGTATTTAAAGTTGAATTAGTTCAGAAAGTGAAAGAAAACAAAAAAATTTAAGAGATTTCTTCGTTATAAACAAGTCAGGCTTTCTCTCTACTACATCAATCGTAAATTTTTCGGAATTGCCAGCTCGGCTATGGTAGAAAGAGGCGCTTCCCGCGTTTTAAGAGGTGACAAGATTTGCAAGACAAGACAAGAAAAGACTCTTACTAAGGGTCAAAGTTGTCTTTCAGTCAATAAATGGCGTTAATTTTGTCTTTATCCTTGCAGTATGTGAGCCAATAATTACCCGTAAATACTGTAATAGTATCCCACCGTCCTCGTACAGTCGCGTAGTCGCTAGTCGCAAAAGTTTTTAGTATTTTTCAAAGCGCCCGTACTTTCAAAAAATTCGTCTTTGGTATCAAAAAATAGCTGAAATTCAGGGCTATTTTTTGATACCTAAGCGCGCATTGTAGCATAAAAACTGTCGAGAAAAACTCGTTCAAAGCTAGACTACCCAACACTCCGCACCGACATTATGGGGTTGGGGTACTATTACAGTATTTACGGTAAGTTGCATTAATGCCGGTTTGATGATTTGAAAAATCCCTCTCTGATAGACCGATCGACGCCCCGCCGCCCGGTTTAATTACCCAAGTGCCCTAGGCTGAGTAAATGCCGATTCTACATATCATTTCAAAAATCTAGTGTGACATCCAGATTAGCCATTTTTGCCTTTAAACAACCGGATTGTCTTTCAAAATATAGCAAAGAATACTCAGCTATTGTGCGGCTCAATTACCCAAATATCTAAGTTGCGTAAATGTCGATTCTGTCATTTTGAAAATCTATTGTGACATCCAGATTGACTATTTTTGCTTTTAAACAACCGGATTGTCTTTCAAAATATAGCAAAGAATACCCAGCTACCGTCCGACTCAAGTACCCAAGTGCCATTATGGGGGTGGGGTTACAGTATTCACGGTATGTTTAACAGAGGATAAGTTGAAGAAACTGCTTTATCATTGAACTTTTTCTTTTAGGTCTGACTCGTCTTCGCAAAGTCGCCCGTTCACCCACAAATCACATCGACATATCGCTCACCGTTGAAGCAATCTGGGAAACAATGATCACAAAGGAGCAAAACGCCGGATGCCGAGCCACAAACATCCCTGGATTTTCCGAGTCTGAGTTCTGAAGAACAATTCTGCTCCGAATTCTGCAAGAAGAACAAGCTAGCGCTTTTGGTTCGCGGAAGCCAGTAAGGGATTTATTTGTTCGTTTCTTCCAGCAATGAGCTTTTTTAGATTGAAGAAGAAAGAAAGAAGTTTTCCTCAATTTGCCTCAAGAAATCGTGACGATCACCTCGGCGGCCACACATCTCGATAATGTGTATTCTTTTAGATCTTGATCACTCGCTAAAAGATGGTCGATGCTGAGCGGAGACCGATGGACGATCACTCAACTCAACGTAGCATCGTTAAATGGATAAAATACCCTTTTTTTTGCTTTAATTTGCCTTTCAAATGTCTATGTACCACATATACGCCCTATTGATTGCTGTATTTTGGTCTCCGCTGTGAAATAAACCGTTGACTTTGTTCGTCTTCACAAATTTCCCTTCCAAGCAAATCCACGCCCCAACAAACCTTTCATAACATTAACTTTTTATTTATAAAAACAAAACAAACATTAACAAAACATCACATAAATACTGCAGAACCTTCAAAATGAAAACAGCCCCATAAATTCAAATAATAAAAGAAAATCACTGATTTTCGGAGGGCGTGATTGTTGTTCCTCGACGAATTGTACCCCAACCGATCAATCGCCAATGCTTTTCGATACGCCGCGATAGGGCAATCTTCTCGCCAATCTAAACCAAAATGTTGGAAGAAATTCTTAAATTGACTTCCTAGCATAAAATTGTGTTTAACTGACCTCTGTGCATATCGGATCGGTAAGTGTTATTTTGGCTTTCTCATCCTTGACGGCAATGACACGTCCACCGGTTGAAAGTGAGCCAATGTTGACCATCAATACCTAAAGCCGTAGCAATAATAAGCTTTTTAGATATAACGCACCTCTGCTTTGCTCAATTTCTGCACTTTGGCCGCTTTCTTGTTGGCTTCAGTTCTCACACCGAGAAGACGTCGAAGAAGGAAGTAGCTGATTTCAATTTCTAATTTTCACATAAAAATTGAGCCAAAAGTTCAAATAAACCTGTATAAATATCTGGCAATGTTCCGACAGCACCAAGAAGATGACCAACCAATCGATCACCCCGGCATAAAGTTGGGTCGATTTGGGTTCCGACTCCGATGAGACCTGTCGAACAGATTGCTAAACCAAAAAGTTAATGAAAACCTCCGGGCACAGCATATTGAAGTTGATTATTCTCCGTGTATAATGAGACGATTTTTGAGAAGATTGGCTGGCATTGCACTTTTCCGTCAGCATTCCTTGAAACGATTCCAGGTCGGACTTCGATTTCTTGTCCCACTCGCAAGATACCTAAAAATCAACAATGTCACGAGTTTAATTTGCTTAATAACGCACCTCTAAGAACAGATCCTCCAGCAACACCACCCTTAAGATGTTCAACTTCAGAGCCGGGTCGATTTACATCAAATGATCGGATTACGATGAGACGAGCCGGTGAAGTGAAATCTCGTTGAGGAACTGGCACCTTCTTGCATAAATATTCGCAGATAAGCTAAAAGTCAAATTAGAAAGGCAGTAAAAAGAACTCTTACATCAATATTGTACTTTAGTTGAGCCGAGATAGGAACGACGGGAGCCTGATCGGCCACAGTACCTTGCACGAATGACTTGATCTGCTCATATTGTTCCTTCGCCTGTGCCTCTTTGATAAGATCCACCTACAACAACTCTCAATTATTGATTAAACTCAAGTTATACCTTATTTTGAAGAATCAACAAATGTTTCAATTGCATAATTTCAACCGCGGCCAAATGCTCGGAAGTTTGCGGTTGTGGGCAAGGCTCGTTTCCAGCAACCTAAATAAATAAAGTTAATCAATAACCATGAATAAGTATACCAAAAGAAAGGCTGCATCCATGACAGCGGCTCCGTTCAACATGGTGGCCATAAGAATGTCTAAATTATTAGTTTTATGGATTGGAAATTAAATCCACTTACCGTGACCGGGACAATCGACAAAAGAAACATGACGAACACAGGTCATCTGACCACCGCAACCAGTACGAGCACATGGCATTTGATCCGGGCTAGCCGAGCCTGCTGATCTAAAGTTAAATCTTTAGTAAGCCTAATAAGTAATAAAGCTGTAGTCTTAATTCTAGAGAGAATAGCTAAAAAGACCAAAAGCATGGTGAAATAGGCCTGATTCCTTGCTTCAAAACAATAACCAACTTATAACAACCCGGTCGTGGGCATTCCGCATTCGAGCAGCGGTAGATCTTTGCATTTGCGTAGCCGAGCTTGATGGTAATGTTTCTCTCCAATTCGTTCTTGAACTTCACAGTGTGCACTCCAGATATCGCCTTCACGAGTGTCGACTTTCCGTGAGCCACATGTCCGATTGTTCCAATGTTGATCGTGGCTTGTCGTGAGATTACCTAAACTAGTGATGTAACAAACGGAATAGCGTCCTAATGGTTTTTCGACTTAAAAGAAAATCGTTTATCAAATTTAGACGCTCAAACGATTTTAAACTAGAACGTTTTCAAGTTAGTCAAAGAGGAACGATCGTGGTACTAAGGCAGTTGGGAGGGGGCACTTAAAATTTTCTCAAATAGTTTTTCTAGGGTAACTGATGGCACTGATCACGAAAAAACATTTTTAAGTTATATTTTCAATCAAAAAACCTCTGTATTGCCGTTGTATTGGGTAGTTTGTGGCCCTTAAAAGGGCCACTGGGTTGGGCATTAGTCAGGCGTCTACATTTTTCTAGGCTTTAGCTCTGCACCTTAGAACCACGTGGTACCCAGGCTAGATTGATTCTCCTACGGCTGTGGTGAGTTTCGTACCAGAAGCTCCCATACATGTACTTAAGTACCTTAGGATCAAAGCATCTCTGGTACGAAACTCACCTCAGCCGTAGGAGAATCAGGCTAGCCCGGGAGCCACGTGGTTCTAAGGTGAGGAGCCAAAGTCTAAGAAAATATAGACGCTTATATTATGTTGAAAACAAGATGTTTTATGGCCAACCTAGCTTCTTATGACCAGCCAAGCTACTTATAACCCTTAGGGCTTCTTATAGCCCTTAGCTTCTTATAACCTTAACCTTAGGGGCTTATTAAACCAGTCTTAACACGTAAAAAACCAAGTTAAAGATACATGCAGTATTTCCAAAATAAAAAAAGTTACTTCAATACAGAGGTGGTGCGTTCTAAGGTGTGGAGCCAAAGCCTAGAAAAATGTAGGCGCCTGACTAATGCCCAGCCCAGTGGCCCTTTTAAGGGCCACAAACTACCCAATATAACAGCAAGACAGAAGATTTTTAATTGAAAATATAACCTAAAAATGTTTGTTCGTGATCAGCGCCATCAGTTACCCTAGAAAAAGTAGATTTGAGAAAATTTCAAGCGCCCCCTCCCAACTGCCTTAGTACCACGATCTCAAAGCGCTCTTCAGTGTTAAAGAAACTCAATCTCACCTCTTCAGTCAATGGTGTTAAATTCCCGGCTCCAATTTTGTCCAAATCCTGTTTGCTCAAGTAGTCTATGGCAGGCGCAATGGGCACTTCTTCGGTCATCTTTTCGCTTTCCATTCGATATTCTATCAACACAGCTATCTAAAAGGGAAAAATTAAGCACTTGAAGCAAAGATTAAACAAAAAGCAAAGGCAAGAACTCAGAAATATACCCAATGACTTAAGGGAAATAAGTGATGCAATGTTGTGTACGACTAAGCTTATCAATCCTCTACTTTTCATCATCAAATTGAAACCGCAATACACCCTACCTAGCTTTTTCTTGATAAAAATGATCTTGTAATCCTTTTGTCATAGAAAAATTATTTAAACAACGTTTTTCCACAGCCCCACAGCTCAAATCCAAATAATCATCCTGTACAATCAACGTCAACACAAAATAGATGATGTAAATTTGAAAGTTTTGACGGTGAAAATGTCCAAGATGGTCACTTGGCTGCGTGCCAATTGGTTTCGCAACGATGCTTTTGAATAAACGACCGTTATTCACCGTTTGTGGCTCCGCGCGGCTACTTTCCTTTACCGCAAAACCGGGAATCGGGTGGGCGCGAAAATTTCCCGGGAACAAGGATTGAAAGAAAAGAGAAAGGGTGCCAAAAATTGCTAAAACTTTCTAAAAGCTTTAAATTTTTGACTTTTCTTCATAGTTTCTTCTAGATTTGCTTATTGATATTATTGATACAAACGGCAAGCTCATGTTTGACCGCTCAGGACGGTCAAACATGTGCTTGCAGATCGCGGTTTCTAGAACAGCTATCAATTTGCAAATTGTTTCATTGGAAAGCCAAGAATGTCAGCTTTTGATTGCTATTTTATACATAGCAAATTCTCATACGTGAGAGCCTTAAAAAGTTTATGCTTATCGATACTCAAATATCGATAGGATTATTGATAATCGATACTTTCAATATCGATAATTATCGATAGGGTTTATCCGGTGCTTGCTCATTAAAAGTAGCAATCAAAAGCTGTATAAACCTGTATAAAATAGCAACCAAAAGCTGATATTCTCGACTTTCCAATGAAACAATTTTCAGATTGATAGTTGTTCTAGAAACGTAGATCTGAACAGTCAAACATGAGCATGTCGTTTGTATCAATAATATAGTCTAGTTAATCAATAATAATCAATAATCAATAATAATACGATAAGCAAGTCTAGTTTCTTCACGAAACCTGGTCCAAAGGTGTAGAGAAGCTCATAGATCTTACAAATTCGATTTTTCATATTAAAAAAATTGAGAACTTTTGTGAAAACAATCAAATAACGAGCTGAATCCATCATTTATTAGATCTAGGAAGTAACTTGCGAATTTATAATGCGTTTGTTAAAGAATAGGTATTCAATTTTCGGACTGAATATCTATTCTTTTTAAGTTCGGCTATTTAACCAGCAAACGCAAAGCCAACTTCCATTCCTTTCGCTCCTTTTCCAATGTATTAAACTCTTTTTCTTTTAGAAGATGTCGGAACGCCGGGATGCTTCTTCGCAAAATAATGCACGATCGCAATGTAAGTGAACGTTTCGTTGTCTAACAGCTAAAATTTTAACCCAAGCTGGTCATTAGTTTGGAGTAATAAAGGGATTAACTTAATTTTGTGATTTTAGCCACCCAGGCCTCGTCGATGCGCGGGGAAGATGATGCGACGGAAAGAGCCTCGAATAGAAGTGGTGAGTGAAAACCTTAGCTTGTTTATACCGTAATTATTCTAATAGAGGACCATGGTCTTCTAATTTTCAACCCCTTCCCCAAAGGGTCTTCTATTAGAGACTGGTCTTCTGTTAGAGACTGGTCTTCTATTAGAATTATTACGGTAGTTCTTTACTGATTCCCAGCTTTTAGTCACAGATAACTAAAGTTTAAAGCTTATGCTATTTGTACATTAAAAGTGAATCCTTTATTTTTAGTGTCCTCATTTCTTCATTATGGCTCGGAAAGTCAATTCTCGGTCTCATCAACCACTGGAGTCTCTCGTCGGGTGAACGATCAACGATCGGATCTTGGAGTTTCCACTCGTCATCATCGCCTAGTTCAGGTGTTGTTTACTGTTTGAAAAGCTTACTTAAGCTCATTTTTAGGTGCAAGGTATGGAAGATGAACTGGCCGTCGATCCAAATCAGCCTCGCATGTACATTTGGGGAACGCGGATTTGCATCTACGATGTGCAAAGGCAAAATTAACTTACATGGCAAGCAATTTGCTATTTTAGAACATTCCGCTCTTTTATCACCACGTACACTCTACAATCGGTTGACGACGATGAGGTGATGGCTCGTAGTACGGAAGGACGACGCCACGAAATCGATCTAACTGCTCCATACTACATGGAACGTTTGGCCGAGATTCGAGAGACTGCTGTAAGTTGTGAAATTAACTTACGTGCAAGTAAACGTTGACTTGGAACTTTAAAAGTCATAAGATTGGGTAGCCAGTTTATCTTATCCAACCATTCTCAATTTAGGTGACTTTCCTGGATGTCAATCTGACTCACATCAAAGACTTCTCCGAGCCACTCTATCGCAAAATTATCGCTTATCCTGGGGTAAAAATTTTATTGTCCAGAAATCTATGAATAGTTTAGGATATCATTCCTTATCTCGATATGACTGCCAATGAGGTCTATCTCGAGAAATACAATCAACAATTGCCGACTCCAATAGAGATTCGTCCATTCAACGCTGAGAAAACTCGCTGCATGAGGAATTTGGATCCAGTTGGTGAGTGTTAGAAGTGTTTGCATAATTTGAAGAGTAAATAATGAACATTTTGATGGGCTTTAATAAGTAATTGTACGAATTGATGTTTTGTTTTAGATATCGATCAATTGATCACGATTTCTGGTATGGTTACAAGAACTTCGACGTTGATTCCCGAGATGAGGACTGGTTTCTTCCAGTGTACAGTTTGTGAGACACCCGTGGCTGATGTGGAAGTTGATAGGTAGATTGCGCAATGCAATAAATTATTTTTAAGTCCAAGAACATCCAAATCGAATACCTTTTCGGTTTTAGAGGCCGCATCATGGAACCTGTAACTTGCACAAACTGTGCCAACTCGCACTGCTTCCAATTGATTCACAATCGATCGCTCTTCCTTGACAAGCAGATCATCAAACTTCAGGAAAGTCCAGGTTTGCGTAGTTTTTCTTTTTGTTGCTATTTTTTGATTTAGATGACATGCCAGCTGGACAAACTCCACACACGCTCACCATCTTTGCTCATGGTAAATTGGTTGAATCTGTGCAACCGGGAGATCGTGTGACGGTGACTGGGATCTATCGAGCTCAAGGATCAAAGGTAGATACAATTAGAGTGATTCAAAAACTCGATTTTTAGACGAACCCTCGTCAACGTGTGCTCAACTCGGTCTACCGTACCAACATCGATGCATTGCACTTTAGGAAAACCGACATCTCGCGCTTGCACCAAAACAATGGGTTGGATTTTTGTTTAAAACTTTTCAAAGGATAGTTTTAGGGAAAGTCTCACCGATGAGCGCATTGCACAAATCAAAGCGCTAAGTCAACGAGAGGATATCATGGAAATTCTCGCGAATGCCATTGGTTTGCTTGAGATTTAATTCGTTTTGCAATGAGACTTTAGCGCCTTCGATCTATGAACATATGGATGTGAAGAAAGGAATTCTCTGTCTTCTCTTTGGCGGAACGAGAAAAGAGGATGAGCACACGCATAAGACAAAGTTGCGCAGTGAAGTGAGTTGTTTAAGAGAAAATGCTAAAACTTATCGATTAACTGTCGATTAATTGGCTAAATTTAGATCAACATTTTGCTTTGTGGAGACCCTGGAACGGCAAAGTCGCAACTTCTGCAATACGTCTTCCATCTGTTGCCTCGTTCGCAATACACCTCTGGAAAGGGATCATCGGCTGTCGGGTGGGCGGAATGAAGTTTTAAACTACTAAGTGTTGTGCCTGTGTTAGAGTTGTTGAGTTACGATTGTTTTTGCCTTTTTCTAAAAATAAATTTTCAGTTTGACGGCCAGTGTTGCGAGAGATGCTGATACAAAGTGAGTTTTGTGCTAATTTTCGATCCAAACAATTATTCTAGACAATTGGTGCTTCAAACGGGAGCTCTTGTGCTGGCCGACAATGGTGTTTGTTGCATTGACGAGTTTGACAAGATGAATGAGGGAGCAAGATCGGTGCTTCACGAGGTAAAAAGTATTGTTTGAGATGAAAACTTCGTCAAAATAGAACTTTAATAAGTTTTTGATTCAGGTTATGGAACAACAAACTCTATCGATTGCCAAAGCGGGTATCATTTGTCAATTGCACGCGAGGACGTCGGTCCTTGCCGCGGCAAATCCGGTCGACTCAAAGTGGAATCGCGACAAGACAATCGTGGGTTTTTTGTTGTTTTGCTGGTTACTAACCGATGAGATTTAGGTCGACAACATTCAGTTGCCTCACACGTTGCTCTCAAGGTAGCTTTTTTTTTCTTAACCTATAGCATAGCTTCATTAAATCTATAAGAATGTTTCTTATTTAGATTCGATTTAATTTTCTTGATGGTCGATCCACAGGATGAGAAGTACGACCGCCGTTTGGCCTCTCATCTGGTCTCGTTGTACTACCGCCGCGAAGGGGAGGACGTCAATGAGAGATTTGATATGGCTCTGCTCAGGGATTATATTGGTTTGTTCTAAACCGGATTTTGTTACTGGAAAATTCTTTTCAGCTTATGCCAAAGCTTTCGTCTATCCTGTCATCACCGAGGAGGCCTCGCAATTCCTCATCGATAAGTACCTCAGCATGCGCAAGTCTGGGGCCACTGTCGGACAAATCAGTGCATATCCTAGACAGGTAATTGTCAAAATATCATTGAAACCAGCGGAAAAGGCTCGCTAACGTTCGGGTTTTCCACGCATTCTAAGCCCCGCCCCTATTTTCCAATGGCCGCGGACAGACGGACAGACGTCTCTTTAGATATAGTGGATAAATCAAAAAAGTTTAGCTTGAAAGTCTCATTCGTCTGGCCGAGGCTCATGCAAAGATTCGTCTCGCCGAAGTGGTGACCGTTGATGATGTGGACAAGGCTTACAAGTAAATTTTAGTGGTTTATCAAATTATGTTGTGATAGAAAAGATCGATTTCTTTAGGTTGCACCGAGAAGCTCTCCGCCAGTCGGCTGTGGACCCAGCCACCGGGCGTGTCGATGTGGGAATTCTGGCTGCTGGTAGGTTTTTAAAAGTTCGTTGTAGTTATCTAGTTGAAATACTTTTACAAGTAAATTTTTAGGTATCTCTTCAACAGCACGCAAATTGGTCACGAAAATCGCCGAGGACATCACCGCCTACTTGCAAAAGGGAGCCGCTCAGAATTTGAACGTGAAGAACCTCTTCACGACAATGCATCAAACGGATCGGTGGGCGTTTTGTTGGAGTTTAGATTTCGAATAGATGTAATAGTTAAACTATAAAATAAAGCTAAACAATAGGATTCATAACGTTTAAAATCTACAACGAATCTGTTCAGAGTTGGTTAAGTGGCTATAGCATGCCGCAGTGGCTGCTGAAACCTTTAACCCTTAACCTGGAAGTTTGACTTCACATAATTGATAACTAAATATCTAATCACTTTTTACCTTCCTTTTTCAGCTCCCTCAATCGAAATCTCTTTGATGAGGCGATCACCGAGTTGGTGAAGAAAGAAATGATCGTTCGAACTGGCGAGCGAATTCGATTTTTGCCCAAAAGGGCTTAATTTATAAATTTTCTTGATTTTTATTTTTGTTTCATTGAATTTTTTCCATCAATTCTCAAATTCTAATGTGTTGATCTCTTTGTTCGATTCCGGTATCGTTTTTTGTTTCCAAATTTTCTGAATTATGCTGAGCAAGTTGGACGATATTTTTCACAATTCTTTCATTGATTGCGACTTTTTAATGAGGATAAAATTGTTTATACAAGTTTTGAGGGAAATCCTGAGGTTTTAGCATGTCTTTTTATCAAAACAAGGAAAAATTTTCTTCTCTGGCGGTGCCTGTCATGGGAGGTGGATGTGGAGAAATTGAATTAATCCCCGAAAATAGGAGATAGACTCGCTAGGGAAAGTTATGAGATGAGTAAGATTTGATTTGAAAAAGAATATCTAATCATGGCTCCCCCCCCCATTGCTATCGTTGTTGATGTTTGAAAAGGTTGAATCACGCTGAAGATTTGCATCTCATTTTGGCACAAGTACTAACCATTTTGAACCCGAAAAAGTGAATCTATTGATCGAAGCTATGCCATATTCTTCAATTTTGTGCATCTAATTGTCAACAATGGTTTTAGCTCAAAAGCGGGACGACGCGCTTTCTAAAACGTGGATGCGCTACCGTACCCCGCACAGAAATTCCCCTTTTCCCATTCTTTTTCATTCTTTTCATTTCCGATTTCGTGAGGGACCATAAAGGTTTTTTTGAGTTTTTTGCCGAGTCCTGCAGGTTTTATTTTCTTTTCTGTAAAATCTATTCCCGTTTTGTAGAGCGTTTTAAGTTTACTTTCCTGCCCGCATTCCCTTTTTGTTAGATTGTTATGTTTAAAATTTCAAAATGGTTTCGTTTCGTTTCTCTCGACTCCTTTCTACTCTATTTTCTTTGAATCTGTTTAAATGCCGCATAAACTTAGCTTAACCAATTATCTTTCAACTAAAACGCACGAAAGCTACCAAATCAAAACGGCGCGATCATCTTGGGGTTTTTCTCAGGTTTTAGGTGCTTTATTGTTGTTTGCAATATAGCTGTTTGCTGTTTGCGGTTTGCTTTACTATTTTACGATAGCTATGCTATTTTTGTTCTTTTAACAACTTTCATAAATTGATTACCAAAATTAACACAACAAGAATTTTTTAAGCAATTGGACGCATTGTTTTCTTTTATTTTGTCTATATTTGATTAAGTAATTACCGTAATAATTCTAATAGAAGAACAGTCTCTATTAGAAGACCCAAACTCTTAAAATGCACTATGTTACCGTATCCCGCTACCACCCAGATTTTCTTGTAAAAATCATTGTGCAAAGTTATTATTTCTTTCCTACTAGTGTTTTTTGTAATTCTTGTTTCTTGTCTTAAAATAAATAATGTGTTTATTTTCAGGGCTGATGGCTGAGCGACTGCCAATTCGCACGGATTCTCTGGAGGAGTATCGAGATATTCGAAAAGATGAAGGAGACGACTTTGAAATCTTCAAGGAACGAGAAAAGGAGAATGAAAACGAGATGAATCAAGATTCGGAGAATGCTTTGGAGGCTGTCGAAGCGGAACTGCTCAAGAATGGAAACAAACGGAAGGCATATTCGATCGAGTTTAAGTTAGAAACAATTGAATTTGCAAAGACGATCTCAAAGAATGTTGCAAGCACAAAGTTTCAAGTCAGCAGAAAGATGATTTCGCAAGAAAAACGATTGCGAAAGATGGGGAAATCATACAAGAGGTTAAAAGGAGGTGGCCGAACCCTCACAAATACGCAACTCGACGTGGAACTTGCCGAATGGGTCCGAAGCGAACGACAGAAGAAAAACAAGGTCTCGAGGCGTTTAGTCCAAGAAAAAGCAAAGCGTTTTTGTGAGCAAAACGATATCAAAGTCGATTGTTCATTGGGATGGCTTCAAAACTTCATGAAGCGTCATGGATTTTCAATGAGAACTCCAACGTCAATCTGTCAGAAGCCTCCCCACGAATATGCTGATGTGTTGGTCAATTTCGTAATGTATCTCAATCGGATGCAAAAGGAGAACAAATACACACACATCTACGCTTGTGATGAAACGGCCGTCTTCCTTGATCCAATTGGCGGAAAATGTGTTGATGTTCGATCAAGTGGACATGAAAAGACAAAAATTTCTGTGATGCTTACGGCGCGCTCCGACGGTTACAAGTGCAAGCCTTTTGTTCTTTTGCCACGGAAACGAATTGATCCGGTCATCCAGAAGCGATTTGGAGGTAAATGATGAGATGGTTGCTCAATTATTGGATGAAATTGATTTGGGCGAAGACGAGAAAAACAAGGATTACGAAAGCAATGCCTCGATTGAAATCAATGACATTAATGAAAATTAAATTGAGGTTTTTTAACGGATTTGCTCCTTTCAAATTGTTTTATGTTTTATGTTAATAATTATTTGTTGCTATTGTTGTTAATTGTTGCTTTAACTAAGTGAATAAAGTGATGATACAAATGTGACTGATTTTTAAAAAGGGTTGCTTCCTAAAATCGTTCTCTAAAGCTTTGACAAATTCAAGACCAGTCTCTAATAGAAGACCCTTTGGGAAGGAGGTTGAAAATTAGAAGACCATGGTCTTCTATTAGAATTATTACGGTATGTGGTTTTTTAGAATGACTTCTGCTGCAGCTAGATTGAGTCTCAAGTCTTTCAATTTGTTGGCCCGAAGCTTGCGATCAAATCAAATGACGACTTCGATGAGTGGTTAAAAGAATGCCGCTGGCTTTGGGTCCGCATTTTCTTTGTCCGTCTTATCAGCTTCCAATGATCATCACGCAACAAGGAGAGTTTGTCAAAAAGAAATTTGAGTGCAAGAGATGCATGCAGGGGCCTGCTAGGGAACTTACGTAAGACCACTAATATTAGGCATTGTGGAAGTGGTAGCGTAATACTCAAAGCTTGATGTATAAGTTCTGGGAGCTTGTTGCTGATCGTTATCCTTTGATCGTTCCTGATCGTTGTCCTTTGATCGTTCCTGATCGTTATCCTCTGACTTAAGTTGTCTTGTTGTTGTCTTCTTGGGTTTTGTGTCTAATTGTAGAAAAAGGATTGAGTAAACAGGTATTGGGTATGGTTAAATGGTGACTAAATCGATAGTTTGCGAAAGCTTGACACCTCTCACACTCACCTATAACTTATCTGATATAAGATGGATATAGAGTGATGATATGGATAGGGGAATATCTATCAAAAGGGAAAGTGGGTTGTGGGAGATAACAAGATTGGCCCTTTGGCCATCTCTTCCCACCCTTATTCCCTCAACAATTCTCTTTTCTCTCGAAAGGCATCCCCCCTCCATCTTCCCTTAAAAATAGACCCATACTCATAGAGCTTATAAATGTTAGATCTGTTAGCTTTCTGCTTTGCTGGTCGTTGTCTTACGATCGTTGTCCTGCGTTGTCTGATTTGCTGATCGTTGTCCTGCGTTGTCTGATTTGCTGATCGTTGTCTTGCGATAGCTTTTTTCCAAGGTTGAACAGATCCAGGAGTACTGAAAGGCTTAAAGCTAGAGCTTCAAGCTTGGAACTGTACAAAATTGAAAGCCATCGAATTCTACAAAAAATAGGGTACCATAAATTGATGCTTATCGTACTGTGTGACATCCAGAACAAGATTTTCGATGGCTTGTGCTCCCTTAAATGCATAGCATCTGGTGCACTCATTGACCATTGATCCCTTAGAAATGGGCTGTATTCAGCTCCATTTCCCGCACTGACCCCCTCCCCCACCCCCAATTCTTGTTGTCAAAAAGATCTCAATCCTTTCCTTTTCAGAACTCGTTTCAACTCTTCTCCTTTTTCTATCTTCTTCTTGAAGGCTATTGACTTGACGAGTTTTCAACTCCTTCAAAAATCCCATCCAATCAGGGATTTCTACCCCCCGAGAACTCTTTTTCTTCTGAAAAAGCTTTGTTTTACAGAGATTTTTGGGATTTAGAGATCCAGAGAAGCGTTTAAAACTTTGTTTGATAAAACAAAATGTTTTGCCGCCGGACGGGGTCGAACTTGCGACCTTTGGCTTATTAGATCAATTCTCTAGCCTTCAATCACTTAATGTAATCTTCTTTCTAGCAATTCTAGCAAGTCTAGTAATTCTTTTGTATCTTTTGCTTTTACAGCCTCACTTTTCCAATCAATATCTCTATCTAATCGATATCCAATCCAAGATATGCCACTCACAAACGAGGGAATTCGAATAAGGCGAAGAGTGTCGCGAAGTCCGACTTTCAATCGTCCATCTCTCAACCATCACTCGTTGAATCAACCGATTTGCTCGAAAACCCTCTACCAAATAGAGGACTTGGAAACGGAGAAGAGATTTTGTTGGATACCGCAAAATAGTCAAGCACAACAGCAATCATTTGCTGCCGAAACTGTTGCCTCGAGACAGAAAAGCTCGGTCAAGGTGGGTTTTAGGTGATGGTGGGGAAGGGAAGAATAGAAAACGGACTTGTGACTTGTCGGTGACGGTGACTTGTCCAATTTAGAAAAGCTTGATTGCTAAAGTTCAGATTCCACCTCGTTTTGTGAGAAGCGAATCGGGGAAAGAGTTGGCGAGTCGAATGAATTCCACAAAGAAACAAGAAAAAGATGAGGATGAAGAAAATGAGGAGAAAATTAATGTGGAATTTTTCGATGAAGAAATCATCGATTCACCGGATAGAGAAAGGAAAATCAAGGTGATTCTTTAAAGGTTGTTCTAATCTTTTTCTTTAAAGTGTACTTTGTACTTTCCGGTGCACTGAATTGATCCAGCTGTGCCAGAGCACAAAGCTATAGCGACTTTGTGCTCTTGTAAATGTCCCCTATCTGGTACACGAGTTCTTCTAGGTGCAACAACTTGCGAATGCAAGCGGTGAGAAAGACGAGTGTTGGACGGGCGATTGTGTTCCCGAGGCGCTCATCGAACTCGTCAATCATCATCAATCGAAGCTATCGAGAAGTCGGTTTCAATTTTGAATTCAAGCCAAGAAAGCCAAGAAATTCCAATATGGTTCCAATATGGTTCTAATACGGTTCGGATACGGTTCCAATATGGTTACAATATGGTTCTAATACGGTTCGGATACGGTTCCAATATAGTTCCAATATGGTTCTAATACGGTTCGGATACGGTTCCAATATGGTTCCAATATGGTTCCAATATGGTTACAATATGGTTCGCGCCGAAAACGAAAACGAAAGCTATTTATAGCCGTTTATAGTCTTTTGTCCCGTGAGATGAGACTACAAATCTCGAAAAAAACGCTAAATCTTAGCACAGAGATCATGATTTAGCCTGATTTTTGTGACATTTGAAAGCCTAAAGTTGACTAATTTTTCTGGTGAAAAAAGTTTTGAAAAATCTCTATTCTACGCGTTTCTACAAGGGGCTTGTGGCATACAAACTATAAACTACAAACGTAATCTACAAACGCATCTAACTTGCTTCAAATCTGACGGATTCACATGATCTATAGCTTAAAAAATAGAGGATTTCAAGAGCTTTTAAATTAACATACAAAATATCAATGCTAAAGAAAATTACAGTGGTTTGTAGCCTGATCGACCGTTCTTGCGCATGGTCGAAGCAATCGAGTCAGACTATAAATTAATGTAACTTTCTTTAGCATTAATATTTTGTATGTCCATTCAAATGCTCTAGAGATTCGCTATTTTTTAAGCTATAGATCATACGAATCCGTCAGATTTGAAGCAATTTAGAAGCGTTTGAAGCGTCAGAAGCGAATTAGAAGCGCTTGTAGTGAGGCAGGTCGTCATTTTTGTGGTTTATAGTGACCATGTCTAGACTGGATAGGACAAGGATCTGGATAAGATCAGGACAAGATCTGGATAAGGCCAGCTCAGGGCAGATAGGCCTAGAATCAATCTAGCTGCTAGATCTGTCTAAATCCGACTCAGCCAGTCAGGAGCCGGACTTTGATCGTGTCTCTTGACCTAGCCTGTCTCTGGGCTCTGACTGATCCCCATCCTTCTATCTTTTAGATTAGTTTTCAAGTAAAGTACAAAAGCCCTAAATTCAAAATCTAACAACTTCTACTTTCCAGACCGAGGCTCGGCAGCGAGTAAACGTTTGAAGTTTCGTTTGGGCGATCATTCATATGTTGTTGATGGTGGGTTTTTTCGAAAACCTCTCTAGATACCTATTCATCAGCTTTTAACAGCTTTGACATGACTTCTTAATTGTATTTTTGCGCTTTATAACCACTTGCGTAACTAAGCCAAAGCAAAGCGTAAAAACTAAAGAAATTTTCGAAAAAAAAAGCGCAAAAAAAGAAAAAAATGTTTGATGATTTTCTTCGTGTGGGCGAGAGTCGGGAGTAAAGTCTGATCGCAAACAAAATTTCGCTTTTTTTCTCCTTCAGTTTTTCCCCCAATTTCAATTAGAAATTGAAAATTATATCGAGAATTATCAAAATTTCGATCTTTTTCTCTATCTTTTTGTCGTTTTTCGTTAAAATTTTCGAATTTCCTCACAATTTCCGTTTGTTTATATAATTTTTGAGCAATTTTTGGCTTAAAATCGCCATCAATTTGATAATTTTAGGGATATTTACGTGGATTACTAGTACTATGTAGATTATTGATGTAAATTACGGCATTAAAACGAGCAATTATCCTGCTCTTCCTTTGTTCTCTCTGCTGCCGCTAGCCACAAACCGGTTTCATTACCCAAGTGCATAAGTGGCGTGAATGCTGATTTGATAATTTCAAAAATCTAGTGTGACATCCAGATTGACTATTTTGACCTTTAAACAATCGGATTGTCGTAGAAAATATATCAAAGAATATCCAGCTACCGTCCGACTCAAGTACCCAAGTGCCTAAGTTGCGTGAATGCTGTTTTTATGATTCCGAAAATATAGTGTGACATCCAGATTAACCATTTTGGACTTTAAAAAACCGGATTGACGTACAAAGTGTATCAAAAAATACCCAGCTACCATCCGACTCAATTACCCACTTGTCTAAGTTGCATAAATACCGATTTTCTAATTTTGAAAAACTAGTGTGACATCCAGATTGGCCATTTTGATCTTTAAACAATCGGGTTGACGTACAAATTATATAAGAAATACGGGAGACCCCTCTGTACACTAATTACCCAAGTGCCTAAGTTGCGTGAAAGCTGTTTTTATGATTCCGAAAATCTAGTGTGACATCCAGATTAGCCATTTTGGTCTTTAAACAATCGGATTGTTGTCCGAAGAATATCGAAAAATATCCAGCTACCGTCCGACTCAAGTACTCAAGTGCCTAAGTTGCGTGAAAGCTGTTTTTATGATTCCGAAAATCTAGTGTGACATCCAGATTGGTCATTTTGCTCTTTAAATAACCAGGTTGTCGCACCAAGTATTCAAGGAATCCCAGAGAAGGAGAATGATCATAAAACATTTGGTCTAAAACAAAAAATGGGGAAAAAAATAGGGAAAAATGAACAAAAAAATGGACAAAAAACGAAGAGAAAAGCATTTAAGTGAGTGCCTTTGAAGGGAAAGAAAGGGGGAAAAGAAGAGATTTTCTCTTTTCGCTCTCATTTTGTGGGCGGTAATTTGCGCATTGTGTGTGTGTGGGACATAGAATCGACTAAATCCCTTGAAAAAGAGCTAAAGAACAGCTTGTCATCTGCAAAAAAAACCCCTCAACCCTATGCAGCTATGCTTTTTGGTTTTTAAAAAAAAAAAAAAAGTTATAAAATGATTTATGTACTCTTTTACATTGTGCATCTGCTTACTTTAGTACCCCATTTCGCCATCGCTTTTCAACATCTCTCGCTTAAAGGGCTTTTCTCGCGCCCCGGTCAATATGAGCTGATGGCCTAGCGGATAAAATACTTGTATACAAAGCCGGCTCTGCTCTCTTCGCTTGGGTTCGAGTCCATGTCTCGCAAATTTTTTTGGGTTTTTTAATTTTAACGAAATTAATAAGAATATATTTTGTTTCTTTTCATTTCCCCTTTTGAGGCTATAGCCTGCTTCCAGCTAGTAGCTTCCAGCAAGAAACGAAGCCAAAAAACTCACCTCAGACGTAGAAGAATCAGGGGATAGCCTAGGAGTAAATGATTAGGCTAAGTACATTTTGGAGCTCAGATTCCAGCACTTGCAAGCTCTCAATGTTCAATGAGTCTAAGCCTAAGCAAGCCTAAGCCTAAGCAAGCCTAAGCAAACCTAAGCAAATCTAAGCCAGCCTAAGCCTAAGCCAGCCTAAGTCTAAGCAAGCCTGAGCAAGGCTAAGCAAGCCTAAGCAAACCTAAGCAAATCTAAGCCAGCCTAAGCCAGCCTAAGCCAGCCTAAGCCAGCCTAAGCCTAAGCCAGCCTAAGCCTAAGCAAGCCTGAGCAAGCCTAAGCAAGCCTAAGCCTGAGCCTAAGCCTGAGAATAGCCTAACTTTACTTTGTCTTACTTTGTGCTGTGCAAACACACCCCATCTAATGCACCCACAGAACCCAAGTTGAGCAGGCGAGCAAAGAACAAGCACAATAATCATCCCGCAATTGTTTATTTTGGGAGATTTTTCGGGGAAGTTTTGCATAAGCTGCTTTCGATGGTTTTCTCTAGAAAAACTTTCAAAAAAAAAGCTCAATTTTTCGGAATTTCTCATGTCTAGATACTTTTTGAGTTAAAAAATTCTCCAAAATTCTCCAAAATTCCCTTTCCGACTCATAAAAATGCCCCCCCAGAATCAGCTTTTCTTTTTTTTGAACAAACTAGCCTCATTCCTTTCGCTTTTTTCAACTCTTTCCATTTTTTTTTTCTAAAAGAAACAACTGAATTACTTCTTGTTTTTTTGCCTCCTTTTTAAACAATTTTAGGTATTTCAAAATTAGAGAGCTTCGTTTTAAGCTGTTTTAGCTGTTTTAGCTGTTTTAGCTGTTTTAGCTGTTTTTTTTGTAAATAATGCTTCTGTTTTCATAACGGCTTCTCTTTTAAGCTCTAAACACAGCTCCCGGCTGCTAGTCTGAACATAGTTTACATTATGCATGTCACAGAAGATTTTTGCGATAACAAAAAAAGAAGCTTAATGGGAATTTTTGAAATCTTTTCATAGAGCTAGTTTTTCTTTATTTAGATCATTTTCGCTTATTTTACTAATCTAGTCTTCTGGCCTAGCCTGGCTTAGCTTATCCTGGCCTGGCTTGGCCTAGCTTATCCGGGTTTGGCTTAGCTTATCCCTGGCTTGGCCTAGCTTATCCTGGCTTGGTCTAGCTGGTCCTGGCCTGGCCTAGCTTATCCTGGCCTGGCTTAGCTTGTCCTGGCCTAGCTGGTCCTGGCTTGGCCTAACTGGTCCTGGCTTGGCCTAGCTTGGCCTGGCTTGGCCTAGCTTATCCTGGTCTGGCCTAGCTGGTCCTGGCTTGGCCTAACTGGCCCTGGCTTGGCCTAGCTTATCCTGGCCTGGCCTAGCTTGAGCTGAAACTCACTAGTTGGCTCTAGACCTGGACTGGTTCGGCCTTGGCATAGCCGGAGTTGATCTGAGCTGCTCATGGTTGGATCCAGCCATGCGTGGCCAGAAGCCAGAGCCTCAGAGTTGCTCAGACTTCGCTTGCCAAGCGTAGTCACGGCTGCCCAGCAAAGGAAGTTGGTGTTCTCACTCGCGGCTACGACAAAATGACCATCTCAGTCATGCTGACCAGCAGATGGTAAAAAGCTCCGGCATTTTGTGGTGGACTTCGATCATTTTTGCTAATTTGATATAAGTTCGTATTTATGAAATCTTCTGATCTAGCTTGACCTGGCCTAACGTCTTCTGGCCTGGTTCTAGGCCTAGCTTATTGTAAGCCTAGCCTAGCTTGATCTGATCCTCATCCAGCACTAGTTTGCTCTTGACCTGGACTAGTCAAGCCTGCACCTGGACTAGTCCGGCCTTGGCATAGCCTAGACTTGGCCTGGTCTGCTCATAGATCCAGCGCTGTTTTGGGCCTAGGAGCCAGAGTCCCAGAGTTGCTCAGGTTTGCCAAGCATCACCAAGCTTAAATCCCAGCACCCTGGATCCTACAAGGTTCAGGTTTATGCTCAGGCTCAGGCTCAGCTAAGGCAAGACATCAATTGTCATTTGAGGCATTCATTTTATGTTGTTCAATTTCGGTCGCAAGTTTACAGTGAATTGCTTCAATTCCTTCAATAGAATAGATGTAAATCTGGAAGAAATTGTCTAGAAACTTGTTCACCGTAATAATTCTTTTTTGGCTAGGCAGATTGTCATGAAAGTTTGGCTTTTTCTTAGTTGGATAGCACATAAAAAATTGTATTGATCAGCTTTTTAGAAAATCGATTTTAGCTTCATTGTGCGCCGATAGCTCAGTGGTAGATAGCGCCGTGTGCGCCGATAGCTCAGTAGCAGAGGGTCGAGGGTTCAATTCCCACTCGGTTCCAAATTCTTTGCCATTCATTTCTTTGCTTTTTAGGGCCCAGGGTCAGCTTCAGCTAAAGCTAAAGAAGATAAAGAAGCTAGAAGCTGGAGCTAGAAGCTAGAGGCTAGAAGCTAGAAGCTAGAAGCTAGAGGCTAGAAGCTAGAGGCTAGAAGCTGGAGCTAGAAGCTAGAAGCTAAAGAAGCTAGAAGCTAGAAGCTAGAAGCTCAAGCAGCTAACGAATTTCATAGTCTATCCAATCAGCCATTCAATCTCAATTCCGGAAGGAGTCTTCTCTCAGAAAAACATCTGACAAATCACTCCATGTCATTCACTTTTTTTCTTTTTCACTTCTCGTGTAAACTATTTGGGGAAACAAATTGCAATTTTCCACTTTTTTCACTTTTTTCACTTTCCCCACTTTCCCCCAGTCTTTTCTCTTTTTAGTGTCATGTCCTTAGGGATTAGGGAATTTTTTTGGGAAAAGATGCCCAACAAATTGATCTTTTTAAGCCCTTGAATAATTCAATTAGTTACAGTAAGCTTTTATCTAATATTAAGATCTTTTTCTTTATCTTTAGCTAAACCTTTAGCTTTATTTAGCTTTATTTAGCTTCCTTTAGCTTCCTTTAGCTTCCTTTAGCTTCATTTAGCTTTATTTAGCTTCATTTAGCTTTATTTAGCTTCATTTAGCTTCCTTTAGCTTCATTTAGCTTTATTTAGCTTCCTTTAGCTTCCTTTAGCTTCCTTTAGCTTCATTTAGCTTCATTTAGCTTCATTTAGCTTCATTTAG